CTCAAAGGTCACGTGGGCATTGGCGAATGAGGACACGGGATAACAGAGCAACCAATAGAACCGCCCGACCGAACAACTAACCGCGGTCAAAGGTCATCCCCGGCTAGCAGCACATATATTAACACACACGTAACACTACTCAACGCACAACCACTAACCCACCCTTACGCACAACTTCGCTCCCCAATGACGCACTAATGATGTCACCTCGATTAGTGATGAAACTTTTGCAATCAGCGAACTAGCTAACGACCAACGATGGCCTTTGTGCAGCACATTCGGCTAACAGACACCATAGGGGAGAGATTCAGCCGAGATCTAGTTGAGTCTGCTACTGAGGTGAATAGCTCAGGTAGCGTAGAGGCTGAACTAGGCAAGTTGATTTCAAACTTTTCATCAACCGATGTGGCATCATCACTGCGGGAACGGGAGGTGTGCGGTGGTACACCCGCGTCGCTATACGTATTACTAGTCGGGAACAAGCTTAGTTGTTTGCTCGGTTCTATTGGTTGACCAGTTACCCTGTTTACTGATTGGTCGGTGACCACGCTACCATTGAACTCGACTTCTCTTAATCTTGTCCTTTGTTTCGGGATGGAGTGACCCTTGCCCTAGACTTCTTTGGGTTTTACTTTTTGACCTTTGGTTTTACGAATTCAAGAAGTTTCATATTTCCTAATTCTGTGCGAGGCTGTGGCTGACTGAAGTGAGCAGTGATGTGACATCAAATGAAAGTATGACTTTATCGTCTTCTATACTGAAGTTCCGTAGTTTGCGTAGGAATTGACCTGCATTTTTGATTGTGTTCCGATCCGGAGATTAAGTGTTTTAATCTTCTCCATAAGTTTTTTGCCAGTTTGTACGTTGGGGTTCCCGGAGGTGAAACGATTGGTCTAAGTGGAGTTCCTTCTTTGTACACCTTTATTAGTCCGTAGAATTGTGCAATGTTGGTATCACCGGCTTTCATTTTCCATCGTTCCTGTCTGCTCATCTCGTGTGTGGCTTGCAGTTTCTTAAGCGCCGTGTTGATTCGATTGACGATGTTTGAAGTTGGGTCATGATCGATTGGTTTGTAGGTCGTGGTGTCATTTAGCAGTTGTTTGGCCTTTTCAATGTAATCCGGCTTGTCCATTATCACCGTGATACGTCTTTGTCCGCTGGTTGTATTACGATTGTTTCATCCTTTCGTAGATTTGTGAGTGCGTCTCGTTCTTGTTTGGAAATCAGTTGCAGGTTTCTATTCCGTGTGATCGCCGGTACGATTGTTTGTCGGATCTGTAGTTGAGCCTCCTCGGACATTTCGTTTGCTTTCAGGGCGTGTTCTAAGCTGGCTAGGTAGGATGCATCCTCGACGTTGAAGTTGAGTCCTTTCATTAGCAGTTCTTGTTCGGCTGTGTTGAGTTGGCGGCCAGATAAATTCTTGATCCAAGCGTCGTAATTGTTGTGTTCGTTGTTCCTCGTGAGCATGTGCAGTTTTGTTTCCATGGCTGTTCTACGCTTGATCTTGACATTGTCTACTCGGCGTCCGGTTGCTATTTCGAGTTCTGCCAAGTGCTGTGGACTGGTTCCGGCCGAACAATTTGTTTAGCTCTGGGTGAGTGCTCTCTCGTGGTACTCTACGGCAGGTTCAGTCAACCGGGGCATCGAACTGGATCCAGTTTATGCACCTCTACGTGCGAGAGATCAACATCACAATCGAAACACTCAAGGAGGACCGAATAATGGATTCACAATCGAAGAAACAAGGAACTCCTCAAAGTCAAATCAATAAAGGTCACAACAGGAACTCGGAAGGACAAAGGTCACTACAACATCGACTAGACTACGACGGCGAGGATGCCAAGTTCAAAAGTCACGTGGGCATCGGTGAATGAAGACACGGGATAAAAGAACAAACAATGGAACCACCCGACAGAATAACTAATCGAGGTCAAAGGTCATCCCCGGCTACCAGCACGTATATCAAAACACACGTGACACAACTGAACGCACAACTACGCACTGACGATGTCACCTCGATTGGTGGTTAAACGTTTGCAACCAAATTGCCTAGCTCAGCGAACAAGCCAACGACCATCTACGCTACCTGAGCCACCGACATTCTCCTCTATAGAAAACGGAGTGTTCTGCCAACAACTAGCTAAAATGGGCTCCCGAAGATTGCCCGTGTTACCCGCATTTGCTGTATGTCCAATGCGGAGATATAGCTATTGGTTTTGCGGTACTGTTCCTTGCACTATAATTCCGAGACATTGAAGAAGCCTGTCTGAAGTATGTAGAATAACTTTCAATTTATTCCATTCTTATTTCAGCGTTGGAGTTCCAACCAGCGCTTATTGCATGGGTATCTACCTTGGGCTTGTCGCTCATGAATATCAAGTAAATGCAAAACTTATTGACTGTATTCCACGCTTTGTTACATTTATTTAAGAGAGAGTTTACAGGGGTACCAGAAACTTACTGCTAACAACCAAGCAGATTTGATAGCAAGTTGTGGATTATTAGCAAATGAATGCATTTTTTCATCATGTTGGCAGTCGTCTCCTGTTGCTAAAAAAATAATTTGTTGATGGTCTGACTGAAACATAAATTATATATTCAATTAAGCTTGCACAGCTAGATTTCATGAAATTGGAAATAGGTCAGATATCTGGGGAAAATAAAGTAAGACTGGTTTTGGTTTGTAGGTACTTCCTTTTGTTGAAATCAGTTTTTGAATATTTAACGAAGATCTAAAACACAAGCTGATGCGATCAAACTATGTGAAGCTTATTCAGTGTCATAACGAATGCGGTCAATAGTTCATCAAGTTTCAAGGCACATTTAGGTAGCTTCAAAATATGCTTCAAAACATGACCTGAACAAGAATGGATCATTCGTCGCCAGTTTTAAACAACGTTTTCTCCGGTTAAGTCACATACAGTCTCAGTCTACAGGATTGCATCCACGTCGTTTGTCTGCTGGATACAGGAAATCAAACCCCCTTATCCATGGAGATTCTACGTGTCTGATTACTTCTTGAGCACAATGCAAGCTCTTGAATAATTCGGCAGCAAAGGATACGCGCATCCAATTGTACTGCGGCAAATAGCCCACATTGCTCTGCTGGACACGTCGGTAGTGCTTGAAATTTCGGTACGCCCACCTACAGAGTACTGCCGAAGTGAAGCTGAGCTTCTCCAGGTTGCAACGTGAATTTTGTGTGACCTAAATAAGGGAATTCTCACAGCTTTTATTGCACCTAAGCAAATCAGTCATCTCAGCTTGTTTAACATTTCTATTCGGTGAAACGTAAGAACAAAAAGCACCATTGGATGGCATTTGCATTGTTTCTTAATCAGAGACAATCAGTAACTGAAGGCAAGGCACTGGACGAAGTTAGAAAAGAATGGGAGAGAAAGCGATACTTCTCAAGTGCAACAATTTCAGAACTAGTAAGCAAATGGAATAAATACGAAAAATTATAAGTATTGTAAGATCGGTAATCGTCGACTTCCAAAACGGACAAAAAACTCTTTGAGCTTCTGCAGTTTCAGGCCGAGTCGGTTCCATTCCGGAACCATTCTCCTTCTTACGTGTTTTACTATCTGAGGGTAGCTACCAGAAACCCATAGACCGGGATGTTAGGTTTGCTTAGTATCACATAGTGTTCACAAATGAATTGGTGACATCCTTGTGGGGTTACTGCATACCAGAACTTGCAATATGGTATTGCTCAGTGCACTGTTAGTCGGGGAAACCACTAGGGGTCAATATGTATTTGGGACCGAGACCTAACGAGGCAATTGACTTGGTTAACGAACACCAGTGTGTGACATTCACGTCGTTTTCGGCAATTTTGAGCACGAACTTGGTGTCTGCTCAGTGTAGTGTACCACCTTCTCAGGAAAACTTATAATAATAATAAGAGGTAAATCGCAGTAAAACACGTGAAATGTTTCAACCCTGTTGTAAGATTAACAGTTAAAAGCAGTCAGATCGAAGCAGAACATATAGAAAAGGCACGGATCGGTAATGATATGTATGATAATGCTTTAAAAATATCAAAATACCACAGCGACTTTTTTCATTTTATTCAGGAAAACTCCCACAATTCGTGGTGGGACGGCAGGACGCTACACCTGTCTAGGTGTCATGGTTTCCACCGGCTTCGATGATATTTATCTCCTACACAACCGAAATGATCGTTCTACCATTTTCACACGGTGGTCTACAACACAGTGTTACTCAGCTTTTTGTACACTGCAGTTTATTCACTTTTTTGTCATCTGCTCGTTACAATTTATTTTCAGCTACCGTGAAATTTGCGATTGGTATGGGCGATCCGGTTCATCGAATCTATCCATCACGACTGTGTGATTTTGCTTTCGGAGTGATCCGTTGTGCGGGCGTGTTTTGATAGTGCGAAGTATGGGATGATGGAAAGATTGTGATGCATTTGTATGACAGTACGGTTCCTGTTCATTCGTTTTGTGTTCATTCTCACTTCGGATATGACTTAAGCCTTAGAAGCGAAATTTTATACGTGGGTCTCCAAACTTAGTGTTACATAACGTTGTCTGGGAGATTTCCGTGTGCGCATGGTCGAGTGTACATTGATTTTATCGCCGTAGCAAGGACGCGATAATCATCTGAAAATTGGTCCTTAAAACAGACAATTTTTTGGCAACATAGCAGAATGTCTGACTGGTTCAATGAAGGTTGCTGGTAGTTTAATACGACGGGGATTCATAAGAATATGTAAATTAAACATAGTAATAATAAAAACAACCTGACGATGGTCGCCATTTGTTCAAATTGTTGTGGATCTTAGAAGTCACACACGGCGCAAGGGAAGTGTGCTTCTCAAATCCACGAGGAATGATTTTATTCGCCACAAATCAAGGAAATCTCCATAAGTGGTTACGTATGCTTCAGGTGTACGCTATGTTGTTCTTCACCGATGCAGTAAGAACTACAGCAAAAATATGTGAAACAACTACATAGTACTGACATGTAAGCTAAAACTGGATTGTCTCACCTGAAGAAGACTTCTTTGATTCAGTAGTAACCACAGACGTCCTTGACGGCCGGTGTTCTATCACACGTAGTACCACATTAGGGCAAAAGCCAATTTCGCTTCTGGAGTTTCGCACCTTACACCAGTCTGTCGAAGTATTTAAAAGTTCCAAATACTCTCCAACTACTACGGATAGCTCGCGTTCGTTCTTGGCTCGGAAATTAGCAATTACTTTGGCCATACTAAAAAAGAAATACTTGAAAATTAATGATGTCTCCGGAGACAGAAATTAGTTGTGCCGGTGGAATCGAAACACTTTATTGCGATGTCATAACAAGCAAATCGACCAATTCAGTTTGATTTATATAGTCATACCCGTAAAACGTTTTCTTCGCCTCCGTCTATCCGAGAGTGGTAGCTACTTAAGAAGATCGCCACAATACTTTTCTGCTTGACTGTCCAGCATCTATGAGTGTGGAATCACGGTGAGAAATTTCAAATTGCTCCGCCTTGGCAACACAACTTCTTGCATATTATCGCCACCGATCGAGACTTACCTTACTTCCGAGTGCCTGTCCAAGTGAGTAGTTTTCTCCGATCCAGACTAATATTAGTTACATGGACGAACAAATATCCAAAATAAATAGGTAAGAATTCTCATAATTTGCGGCATAATCAGACTAGCTATTTGGTGGCAAAGGAACCAGCTTATTAAAACTTATTCGTTTGCCCACAAGCATCTGAAAATGTGGCTTAATCTCGCCTTAACTGACAGTTTGCATGGGTGACATAGCTAGACAATTTGGAAATGTCACCACAGTTGATCTGAGCCAACAGAAGAAAAAACATGAAGCAACACTCAGTGTTACGTTACCACTATTCCGAATAAGGTCAACCACTGAGGCGCTGCAGAGCGCAATTTCCACTTGCTAAAACGTATCGTCTTTCGAGGTCAATAAAAGTCTCGCTTCCAGATAAGGGCAATATTGGACAACGAGTGACCATGCCAATCCCAATGGAATTATTTCACCCCAACAGATTATGCAACCTGCCCACGTTGTACTGATTATTCCACTCTGGATAAGAAAACCGCTTGTGGGATATATAGGATTCATATTCGTATCATCCAAGTTTAGACAGTTGTCCTCCCATCCTGGCGTCACTGTTCTGATGAGTTCACACCAAAGAGCACTGGACTCGAGTCTTGCTCTTTTTAGAGCACATTAGCAGTGCATACAGTTGCCCGTGTCAAGATTTGAACTCCGTACATCTGACATGGAGGTGGGTGATACCACTATTTTCTCATCTGTTAGGAGTCGTCAGCATAGTTTCCCCAGGACAGTAGGACGACCTTTCGGATTAGAGTGCTGTAGAATGAAGTAATGCGCTTTCATAAAGGAGACTACTCACAAGGTTGCTGAAAACTCTTCGACAGCCCACGACCGGTTTCGGCCTTCTTGGGGCTCATCAGATAGGCGTAGTCCCCGAGTCTCCATCAATCCTATGTTCTACCTGAAGCCAAATTAAACTTTTTTCGAGAAATACACTCATTTTCAAATCGATTTGATTTTCACGAGAGACTCAACTGAATCTCTTGTTTATGATACGTGTGGTTCTTTGGTAGGTGGTAACACTGAAGTGGTCACTGATAACAATATCATCGTAAAAAGTAAATGACCCGCACGTTTTGTTAATAAGCCATTTAGTTAGAAACAAGGGACACTTTTTGCATACTCAAATACACTCGTGGGCACTTCGATCCCAAGAAATAATTCTGTGGTGTTTGTGGAAGCTATTTTAATGAATTACGACACTATCTGAGTTGAAATCATATCAACCGAAGGTTTTATCCAAGATAACAGTAATCACTACAGGGGGTCGAATTTGTCAAGGGTGGTGAAACTTGAAGATGATTTAGTGCAGAGGATTGAATAGATAAGTCCCTGTTTCAGGCCACATTAGATGAACTTCGTTCTCCTTGAACGCTTCCGTTACATTTTGGGAGGGTTAGCAAAGAGTTTTGGATGCCTCCACGGATCCCGTAGCAACAACTCTAAACCTACGAAGGACACGTTTATTTCATGGTGAAATTCTGTTGAGCTAAACAAGGTGCCAGTAGAAGTTTTGCATTTTTTTCGCTTTGGATCAAAGCTACCGCGGATATAGGACGCATTTCCTTCATAATCATCCGACGACAACGTTATCCATCTTTTAAGAGCCGAATTAGTTCACAAAGACAGGTTCCGGCTAGTACAGAAAATTGACAAGTGTCCTAGCCTCTTCTGTCAGGATACAACGATATCCATACGAGCGTCCAGCTAAACTCAAAGTATTCTGAGGGGAGTGCGGGCAGTCCTCATAATCTTCAATTGAGATTTTACCCTGCAGGTGAAGCCAATCTGTGCTAGGAAGCCGACTGTGCGCAGTTCAGGAGTTTCCAACCCGAGGTCTTCCTTAACAGTTTGAGGTCGAGTGGCAGATCAGTGTGGGAATTTATTGCATGTAACCAAAAGGAAGTGGATTTTTATAGAGGGTTATAGAGAATTGATTTGCTAACCTCATCAGAAACGGTTCCAGATTACCAAAAGTTCTTCTGGATCAGACCAATCAGACCAATGCCAGGCATATCTTATCGAAAATAACTGTCAACACATATGAAATGGTTATCTAATACCTATCCACGATTATCTACTCTTTTGGTTGGCATCACGTGAAGCACTGCCACATCATTTGTGTAATTTCACAAGCAAAACTGAGCGGCAACACTTTGGCAAAGCGGAATGATGGCGATGTGATGAACCAATCCATGCCTATTTTACCCTTGGTGTTTTACTCTACTGGAGGTAAAAATCATTTCAGTTCTGATCATTCACTGTCCATTTTTAATGAACATGTTGGTATGAAACACAGCCCATCTTTTTGACGCTTCCTTACGTGAACTTGCTGCTAATATTGATTTCCGGTTTGTCCTGTTTTGATTGGATTGCAGGGCATTTTTATTATTTCTTCCCTGTATTGGTGACTTTCCCTATTGAGCTCTTGGATACATCAATGGTAGTGAAGGAAAATTCTGTAATTTTCAATTGACGTTTCGTCTTCTGAGTGGAGCCAACCTATGCTGAAACGCCTTGAGAGGGGAGCAGCAACACTGCGCATCTTACGAGACCTCAGGGAGCCCCAAACCTGAAGCCCCCGGGTTGGCCATTCTGCCACAACCGTTTGGTCACAGGCCACTGACCAGTAGTGTAAGTAATTTGCACGTAGACAGGATACAGAGTTTCATTCATCGAATTCACACAACTAAACAACACGTTGACTGACCCGTGAATATATATATATATATATATATATATATAATAAAGTCAAGCTTCTTTCTATGTCACATGTAATATTGTGCACTAAGCAAAGCACTGATTCTTTTTTCTTCTTCTTCTTTTCAGACAGTTGTAGACTACTTAGATTGGTACTCACAATCCTAATGTCGATGGTTCTAATAGTCGTTAGCTAGTAAACTGCTTGCAGGTTGAGTTGAATATTCCACGGGGACAATATGATAGACTGAGACGATCCTATAATTGTGTCGTAGATTTTCGGTTGTCGATCGCGTGCACATCTTATTTCCTCCGGGAATTACTTTTAAGTGCACGCAAGTTTTTTCTGTAAGGGAATGGCCGGCAGTTATATAAAATGCTGCTACCGTGCTTGCCACTTTCGGAGATCGCAGTGGGTGGAATCGAGTCCAACAAAACTAACACAAATCAAGTAATACAATTGCCGTAGATCCTATATTCTCAGAATGTAACATCCTGTGAACAGATCTGAGTAGTATACTATCGAGCTGGACCGATAATTTGCCCATTTATCCATCCACCTGAGGGTCAATCTTAAGTTAAGGTGGAGTTCCACGTTCGGTTTTGCATGGAAAATGTCTTTTTTGGTTGAAAAACAGGCAAGACATTATCTTGCACCCCTAGGGTGATGAAATATGCACATATGCCTATAGGATATTGTACGGAATCACGATGGATCTCAGTGATAAGGTCAAAAATTCAATGTTGCACTTACTGGGCCTTCTGAACCATAAGTTGTCGCGCAAACGTATTCAGCGGCGCAGCTCGAACATATCTATGCTGCAGTCAGAGCAAATAAGAGAAAATAAAACAGGCTTTGACGAATTGATATGTTATGGTACATTCATTTGAAATTTGAGCAACTATTCACTTTAATTTAGTGGTAAGTCACAAGTCACCCCCGGGACATCACATTTGTAGAAACAACGCAAGCAGTTTTTCACAGATGGATACCTACATGGCTCTGGAAGTAATTCGTCGAGAGCCAACAACCGTACCTTATACGGACTCACTTTACTTGGCAGATAGTTGTATTCCTTTATGTCGGTGTACTAGCCAGACACGATAGATACATAAAATAAAAGTTCGATTTTGTTCAGAAGACCGAGCTATGACATATCCTTATCATTTGTGAATAGATTATCACACTGTGTTGCATGGGCATCGGAGAACCTGGAATGGTAACCAAAAAACTGTGGACCCATTGTAGTCACTTTTCAAAAAGTGTAATCCCGCAAGATCACAATAAGGGGTAACCAAGGCTGGCGTGTTCAGTTGGATCACTGTAAAACGCCAATAAGTTGTGTCTCACCCAAGAGGCAACAGAAGTAAGAAATCATTTTTTGGGAAGTCCACGGTAAACGATTTCACTGTATTTCTATGGGAACGCCCACCTCATAAGTGAAGACGCTGGAGAGAGAGAACATATAATTTCGTTCATTGATGAACGTTCCAACCTCTAAAATTAAACCCATTCGGTTAAGCGTACGTAACTTTAAAATGACTAGCAACGGATTGCCCATACATGTACCCAATAGAACTGAGTCTATGTACTTACTACAGCGTTGGTCCTATTTTGCACGGTGAGGACAAACAAAATCGGATAGATCATTTTTACCATGTAACCCTAACAAGATAAATTTTTCAAAAATCCTCGGTTTACGTTATGGTATAATTACGATGAAAAATTCAGGATGGCTCGCTCACACGTGTGCCTCTACCCGCATCGAGACGAAACAGGTGAACTCGGAGAATCAAAATGTACTAGCGACAAACGTTCAGAAAGATTCAACGTCCTGCATAGGTGCATAGGCTTGAGCATTCCACAGAAAGGAACGAATGATCTCTTTCTCGGTTTCCACACACAACGATCAAAGCGTGATTTCTACCAGTTTACGAACGCATCAAACTGTCACACCCTTCGGTTCAGTGTCTCATACGTCTGAACTTGTTGGATTAGTAGTTGCACTGGGTTCGCCGGCTTTCCGGGTGGACAAACCAACAGTTTTTCCTTAGTTTAGGGCAAAGTAGTTCAGATTCTATTCCCTGTATGCACGTTGGAATGCATGTCCAACTGTTGCAGTGCAATGGTGTTATCATCACACTGTGATCTCGACCGTCGTGAGACTTTTCTGTGTGACCGTGTGTTCATGGGCCTACCTCCATAACTTGTCGACTTCAGTACCAAGTTACTTTTTCTCAGAATAAATGTGAATAGTGTATCGGCAATCTAGTGGATTATATTGGTAGCTCAAGTCTGCTGCTTGTTTTTGGTCTGTTTGTTGAGCTTGGCAGTTGAATTGCGCATGTTTCGTCACGAATCGAGGTGACATCGTCACTGGGCACTGATCCAAGTACGGCGAGAATTTTGGAAACATTTGGTGAGGTCTGTAACAGATACTTGCTGTTCGGGTGCATGGATACCTAACCAAGCGAAGAGAGTCTCTTCAATTCCCATCAACCTACACGGTGAATTCACTTCAGTTTTGGTATCCATGGGATCCTTGAAGTCACTAAATCTTGAGGGGCATTCTTCGTCCTGGTTACTGGGTGTTCGCAAGCAACATTGTGCAAAACCATCCAAAAAAACTAAAGTTAGGTGAACATATGTACGCTATTAACAGTGGTGAGCATACGCTATGACAACACACATTTGTCTCACCTGGGGGTCCATCTGCACTCCTTTCTCGTTGAAGCGGAATAGTGTGGGTTCATAGTCGTCTATGACAACTTGGAAGTTGTGTCTGAACTGCGGCACGTAAACAATGTTATTGTCGGATTCTTCTCTGTAAAACGACAAAGGAATGACAGTCAGTGTAATAAGAATATCCGGTACATTATTGCGAATCATACTATATGTTGATTTGCATATTCTCGGAAAAAATTCTACTGGAATTCAGATGTGATTGGCTCTATCAACAGGGTGATTTTATATAATGTGTTTCAGCGAGCGAATTGGCTGAATGCCTCCATATAAAGTGAGGACGATTTGGAACCAACCGGTCGGTCGATCCAGCTACACCGCGTAGAAGCCGTGAACGACTGCTACAATCGGATTATGTTATAGTAGGCTTAGTTAGGTATTTTGATAATCGACATCACCTAGGTTCGTGGTGTGTGAGACAATATGGAGCCAAGTGAGTTTTGGAAAGATTAAGGAATGAAATTGCTGAGATAACATAGATTAGGGATACGAATCAGACTCCGTTTTTTATTTGCTCCGTTGAAGTATGCATAGAACGGCTTGCGCCAGAATTAAGTCGGCAGACGTCAAATATTTTGTTATATTCGCGTTCATATCACTCTTGCTTGAACAGTCGTCCTCCTATCCGAGCGTAAATATTCTGTTGAGTCCATATCAAACGAAGGAAGCATTGGGCCGGAGTTTTGCCCTTACTAGGGCTCATTAGTGTTGCATAGCTTTGGCTGTATCGGGGATTGAATTCCGGATATCTGACATCACACCGCTCAAGCATGAACACGTTCGTTCGGACGTGAAAATTCAAATGCCTCCATGGTGCGCTGGTGGCTCAATGGAAACACGCTAATGTCAAAGTTCGAGTTTAAACCACGGCATGGCGAATGTTTCTGATAAGTTCTAATAAAACAAAACTCAAGTTCGTTTATTTTCGAATCACCAGACCGACTTTATCAGGACAGGAGGATGTGTTCAACCGACAGTGAGGTGAGTATGAAGTCTGCAACTTCCCAAAACACCAACAACTACGATTTATATATCTTATCCTTGGTGAGAAGACGTGTATCTGAGATTGTGAATTTCTCAGTCTTTCTTATCAGTTCCAGCTTTATTGAATGAATGCTGGAAGCCACTTGATGCACCAGTTCCCGCGCGAATGGATAGTAGACGCAGATTATTGTGCGATGTGTAACATTCAACTCATTCCAGTTTGAGCAGCCCTCCCGACCTGGTTCATTTATTCTGGTGAGCCCACAACAACGATGGAAAGCAGTGTAGTCAATCTCATAGGCGGCTTTGGAACTCCGGACATCTGATGAGTGAGCAAACCTGTTACTATTGTTCTATGGACAGTCACTGGAGATACCTGAATTGTCACACCTAAATAGGTGATGGTGTTCACGTTGAAGTGACGTGGCTCATTTCTCTGATGCCTCGAATAACGGCTAGTTTTCCCAGGCGGTGTCAATCATTTGCGCCGACTGTCAGAACCTATAGGTCAGATGCCGTCACGCAGGCTTGAAACGTGATGGACGATTTTTGAATGCCTAAAGGTGGCAGCAAGATTTGTCAAGTCAACAGCACATCCCTTTCTTCTGAACAGATCTCTCCTCAGATGGGTTCTCTCTTATTGGAACTCGCCAGTATTGCAGCATGTGCTAGTGGAACTTTGGTAACAGGCGCGCTTTGAGTATCAGATGTCCAGGCATCGAAAAGCTTCAAGGCCAAAAAGATGACTCGCTAGTTAAATTCAATGAAGGCGAAACGATAGTAATGTGAAGGTGAATCATACGGCTAGGTATTTTTAAAGTGTTGGAGAGATGCACTATTGTGGTTGGCAGTGAAAATGAAAAGTTTCATAGTTGTATAACAAATCCGATCTCGGGAAGAATGAACACTTGCTAACCAGATGGTTGATAGGTCAGTCGGATTCTCTGTCACGTATCTTGCTTCAAACTGCTCACAACTCAAATCGTGGCTTTCTCTGCTATCCTGCATTGTATCATTTATCTCACTATTGTGACGCAGCAGTCTTGTACGTTTCAAAAACAGGCAGTTGGCGTTAGCCATTCAACAGGATGTGAGACGACAAGATAGCAGCATTTATTCCAGACTGCTTATCACTACAATCTATGTAAAGAAAAAGTAACTGAATAACAACCGGTTGGGTTGCAGCTGGAAGAACAGTGGTGAACACACGTGAATAGTCCCTAGTCTCAAAACATCGCCAGTAAGTTGTGGCCCTTATTCCTATGCAAATTATCACCAGCCATCCAGATGTGAATTTTATTGCGCGCATGAAGTAAAAATTTGGGAAAATTATGTTGACTGTTTCAACGAAATGAGTGCTTCTACAGTGGTGCTTCCTCCGAGGACGTCGTGAGATATCCGTCACCTACGCTTTCACGAACATGCAACTTCCTAGGACATTCACCAAATGATTTTCAGCTGCTCACCCTGTTACTTGATTATTCAAGTGAGCTTTCTTTGGAAATTCAATACTGTCTCTTCACTATAAAATCGGGGACACCAAACAAGTCTGGTCGCACTATATGAGCGGAAAATTCAACCCTCAGGAGGTGTACACAGCCATCAAGTTGCACGAGAATGCCTTGTGCACTTCAACCGGTCACTATGAATTGTCGCAAACTGCTCTAGCTCTAACGAAAAGTTTCTTCAGCTTACTTCTTAATCGGAGTCTACCTGCTGCAACCCTGTCCAGTGAATGAGTGCTCATAATAACTGCTTAGTAAGGTTATGTTAGAGAACTAAGAGTAGGCGTGATTAAGGTAACTAAAATTTGCTGATCTTGATGAAACACCAGAGAACAACTGTCCAGAAGTTAATTGCAAAACAGATGACATGGAAAATGAGTCTTCTTTGAAGTTCGCGGATAATTCGCTTTCTCGGAATGACACAGACCTAGTATTGTGGACAGCAAAACATGCTTCGTACAGAGGACAAACGCTACTCTTTAAGGATTGCAGATATCTGCTGTTCACAGGTTTCTTTTTAATCCACAAAACTGTTTTCATTCAGTTAATCAGCAAAACAGACCGTCCAACTTCTAATTCAGAAGTACAAAACGTCTCGAATGGGGTCTCGCCGAACGCTTAAAACGTACAACTTTTACCACAATTCAACGTCAGAGTCTTTAAAAAACTAAACAGGGATTTTTTAACTAAAATAAAGTTTGCTTAGCTTAGGATGTTTCAATTTATCTTAAGCAATGAAGTTTTTTATCAGGTATGTTCAAGTGAGTTGTGTTTATTCGTGATAATTCAGTGTTAATTTGTTCAAAAGGGTCATAATTGGCCTCCAAGGACTGCCATAAGAAAGAGCCCCGGGTGTGCTAATATACAGCTTGTTCACCAAATCGATAAAGCCCATTCTTCGAACCTTTCACACATTATGAATAGACAAGAATGTCCTTTGGGTTGTTTAATCTAAAAATATACCCTTAGGTGAAAAAAAGAATACCATAAATGTGTGGTTTGGTTGAGTATATTCTCAACACCAAAGTAGTTTGCATGAAATGAGTGCAATATGTCAGTTACCAGTCTATCAGGGGAAAAAAATCAGACTAAACTTCACAGCTTGCCTCGGTGTGTTCCAAGCTGGTCCAAGCTCTTTCAACATTGAGAGGTGCTCATCACTCAAGTTTTCGTGTAGGAATGTCAAGGTTTCTCTTGGAAACCAAGGTCGGATTGCTTCACGCGCAACAGCAACTTGCCCAGTCTTTGGATCACGACAGAGCATCAGTGCTTCCCTAAAATCCAGAACAAAAAAGTGTGAAAAAATATCCAGAACTAAAACAAAATCTGTGCTCTGGCAAGACACTGGTCGAAAACCGGTGAAAATAGAATATCAGCAAACAGAGGTATCTTGCCATGGAGCATTTTTGTAACAAAAAAAGCAACTACATGTAAACGATTGTTTCATGGGCTTTCGTTGAAGAGGAAGGTAGCCATCCTTCGAAGCACCTAACAAGGCAGAAAGTCCAGTGTAAGCCACAAAATGTAACAACAATTTTTGCATTCACACATTCGAATGTTAGGCAAAACGTTGATTAACATGATCTGTTAGTTACACGTTGGTTGTTCAGTTACAAACCTTGGGCTTCCCTTGAATTGTATTGCTCCAGTGAGTTGAGTGGGTTCAAAGGCTGAGTATGATGCGTTGACTGGATTTTCAAGCTACTGATTTTACGACTCTAGAACTTCGATAAGCCCTAGGTTTGCAGGATTATTTTATTGGACTTCACCAGGTACATTGTATGGTCGTTGACCGGAATCGTAAACGGATCCAGTATTTTTGGACTCAAATCATTAGTCTCAGGAAGGCTGATTTATCCGTTTGGTTGTGAAGTGCAAGCAGGAAAATTAATTTGTGCCAACTGGATTCATCTCATCATGTCCATAACACTGTTTCAATAAGCTTTTCCAATATTTCATCTTCATTTTCTCGTGAACTGAGTTACAGATGAATGAAAAAACTTCATCGATGAAGATGAATTATTCATGATGAAAGAGCTTGTTTTATAATGATGTCCGGTCGTTCCCTTTTAGTGATAGCCTTTTTTGTTATTGTTCTATAAAACTGGAGAAACTTTCACCAAAACGGCTCTACGATGATCGCCAGCGTTTCGTAACTGTTATGTCTTGATGTACGGTAGTGCAACTCTGTGTCGGTCCCTTGGCTTGCTGCTCCGCCCACTATGGTATAGCAAAAGGCACGGTAGGCTCTACCCACCCGTTCTGGAGACAAGACAATCATTACAACTCTCTCTCTCTCTATATATATATATAGGGTAGTCACAGAGTGTTCCACATGGTCGTGCCAGAATGTCCGTGAGGGGGCGAGAACCGTCGAGTCAAGGTGCTTGACTCGGATTGGCTGGCATTCTGACCAATCAGGGCATGCCTACGTCTGGCCCGTGTCCTGCACGTGACACATGCGTCCAAATGATGTGATGTTCGGTTATTAGGGACGGCTGGCCCCCGAGCAGTAACACAAAACCAGATACTTATAAAGAAAACAGATGTAGACGTAGAATTACCACATTCGTTAACTACGTTACTAAATTTGCATGCAAACACAGACACAGATGTATCTGCTGCACGGCGTCCAATCGATCAGTTCGATCATACAGTGCGAAATCGAGGCTACAGCGATCCTGTGAATAATTCGAAGATGATACCTAGGTTCTGGGATTCCACTTCAACCACTAATTATTCAAATGCGTACAAATGGACATAGCTGGAACATTTCAGCTGAGTGCCTACTCCAGTGTGTTACGATTAACTACCGAAGAGCCAAACTTTTGATTCTACAGGACAAAGGTGAGTGCACCTCACATGATGGTAGCACCAGGGGTCCATGCCTGGCGAGAAGCCCAGGCAGGCTGGCCTGTGGTAGTTGTCTGTGGGAAACGAGAGAATGGAACCAGTTTAACAGTGATTTTTACGTCTTTGATCTATCAGGTACAAATTTTCCTCTAGATATGATGTGAGGTGCTCCTCAACCAAGTAGTCAGTCGACTTTGTCGGAGCGACATAGACTGATCTTCAGTTCATCTAAATATTTTTTGGCGCATTGTTTATGAAATGCGACAAGGTATGGTGGCTACACACAGAGTTTATCTCAAATAGTTGATGTCAACGTTTAGAAACATTCTCCTTTTCATATAAGGAGATCATACTTCCCCTACGGATCACCTAACTGCATGTTATCAAATAAACCAAAAGTTGAATGCAATCACCAGTTCATGATACTCTGTGAAATATTTTCTTCTCAGAGTACGTGGTCAATAGCTACTCCAGCGTAATGAAAAAAGACACCTAGCTGATGATAGTCTTGGTTTTAATTGGAAGACTGTATCAGAATTGGGTTGACTTATAGTGATTTTTTTATGGGAGAGGATTTCTAGTGGAGTGTCACTGAAATAGGTATTTCAAGATAACATATGAGCGCTCTCTTCAGATGAAGGTTTCAACCGTTATTGCTTCAAATTTGCTACGCTCTCCGTCTTCCTCATCTCTAAATTTATCGTCTGAGCCTGTGCATGATCAGAGAAATTTTAAAAACTGAGCTGCAAATCCTTGAGCTAAATCTTGAGCTAAATTTACTACGGGGTACAAGTATTCTAGTAAAAACAATTTATCCATCTGAAAAAGACTCAAAGTCTCGTGAAGCTTTTACAAAGTGGATAACTGAGCATACACCAACAAAACTGTTCATTAATTTCTAACCAGACACTTGTTTGGGAGAAAGTAGTAATGAGTAAAATTCAGTTAGTTCATTGTAATTAATGGTTTACTTTAAGCTGGTCACAAGGAAAGCAGTACCAGCTTATGTTACAGATATGAAGGTATGGAACAATGTGATTCGGGGATTGTTGTTTTGGTTTTACTGGACCTGGTGGTTTGGTTTCAAAGGACTCCTCGTCAGTCGAGGAAACTGTATTGGTGCAGAAATGTTTACAATCCAATTTCGAAGTCCGGTGAATAAACCAATAATCGGCGGCGTACTCGACGCACTCATATTCCGCATCATGGCCGTTGAGACCTCTCCGGGTAGGGACTTCAATCATCTGTAAATGTGCGCTTCTGCAACAGGACACCTCCCCACGAAACTCGTTTCTATACCAGACAGTTTCACAACCTGACGAAATGGGACTATAACACGTTTGGTGTGATTTCAAAATCTTTTCTTAGAGCCGTTTTAGCTGTGACTTAGTGAATAGTTTTGCAGTCTAAACAGATTAGCCTCCTATTTTTTACCAGTGGTTTCAATTTTTCTCTATTCAGTTACCGAAATCAATCCAGTTTGATTATCGCGTGTAAACATTGATACCATATCCCTGTTTGAACTTTGTGACTTTCCGTTATACAAGTAGTAACTATTCCCATCTGGAAATGGCATCCGGTTTCCATTCTTTCGCAAAAAATACAACAACTGTGATAAGTTAGAAAAACCGAGAATCTCCAATACAAGTAAATTACTTCAGAAGAACGAAGAGCTGCCGCACAAGTTGAGGAGAATTTGGTTCTTTCACGTAGTTTAACAGTCTTGAGAGGATGATCGTTGAGAGCTTGACTTTCTGATAGAAGTCCACAATTGTTGCGCGGAACTTGGGATCCATTTGTTTGTCGTGACCATCTGACTCTGCGAAGGCAAGTAAGACATAGTGGCTGCTAGACTGGTACGATTCAACGAGGGTTATATAAAGATATTTTGGAAAATACACTTTTTCAATTGATAAATACAACATCTGTAAGGTGCCAAAAAACGTATCATTTTTAAAGCCCCACACATTTAACTAATCTGTTTTTGGGTGACAAATATTCCAGATGAACGTGTAAGTAGTCACCTATCATACACCTATGTGAGAGGTGGGGCAGTGTCTCTCCCTGTGTACTGGACACGCACGTCATATTTCCAGGTACCAGGATTTTCCTGATAGAAGCCGAGTTCTGGAAAGGCAGCTAGAAAAAAACATTAAAACCAACACACTGCGTTGATGAATAGATCGATGATGTATAGATGGTGACGGAAGATACCTGGGGAAATCGTGACAGAACAATATTTGTCTCCTTGTTCGGTCCTCTTGGCTGCTACATAACAAACGTCTATGATATTTGTCAGACACCATTTGCAGCAGTTACAGGGAATTCACAGACAAGCTACAAAAACGGAGGAGGGGGATACACATTGGTCAGCAGAAATCTGACGTCAATGTGAATACACGTGACAATATTCCACGTGATCACTGAAATTAAATTTGGCTGATTCCGTTCTACGAACTTATCCTACAAGAACGTCAGTGTTGGTTCCACAAACGAAAGACTGTTTATGAATGCGTCCTTGAATATCATACAAAGTTTGCACGGATATATCATATATGACTATGTGATACGGTAGCCAACAAGACAAGTCAACAAAAAGCATTCATTGAAACCTATCCCCATTGAAACTGATAAGACTCTATAGTGAAGTTGTATTCACCGAGTACGATTAGGCTTCTGGTTTCAAACATTTCGTTTCACTCATGTGATCGGTAATCTGATCCCCAAAGAGAACGAAATATTCGAAAATTTGGCCACTGCTTTTTGAGGGAGATTTTGCCAATTTATCGTCGACACTGAGCAGTTAATTTGGTAAGAAATCATACTGCTAATATTGAAATGAAAAATTGACGCATTAGCAGTATTGCGGTAAGTTTTCTCATCAAAAATATAACAGGATGTGGTACTGAGAGTCTCTTGATGGGTGCCCAATTTAGCACCAAAATGATGAAGCTCCCATTCTGCAACGTTCCTCTGTTTCTGTGCGCCACATCGGCTGAAACGCCGTATTGTGAGTTTCAGACGCGGCAGTAGATCAAAGACAGAAATACTTGGAAATACTGTAAACGTCGAATACTGATGCGGCCGAGACATCACATTCTCCTGTTGAGTGTGGACGAAAAAGTCGCAAGGTGCTTTTACCGACTATATACGATCGCTTTTTCATCCTTATCAAGTCACTTTCGAGTTATCCAAGAGTTAACCAAGTTAAACCAGAGCACTAGAATATCAAATGTGAAGTAGCTATTCATCAGAGGCCAGAAGGTACTGGATAACACTCAACTTTTCCTGTGTTCGGTGCCCGTATGCTGTATTTTGTGAGAGCATGTAATTTCCTCGAATGTTTTGGAACTGAAAAGCAACCGCTCATTTCGGCTCTATCGTGGCAATCCTCATGTAGCTGAGCATCCAAAACGACCGCTTCCAACCAGCTTGCAAAGTTGGGGTGGTGCAAGGGTAAACTAAGCTCATTTAACTTGGTGTTTGTGAGATAACTTAGAGTTCGGACTTTCGGACTTCATATAACTCTGCGAATTTTTCTCTTTTATGCGTAGCAGCACACGAATGATTGTAGCGCTGACAAGTCTATTTTTACCAGCGATGGTTGCATTTGGGAGGACCAAAGCAAACGCCGGCAAGGTATCCTTGAGTCGGGCTGAAACTTGGGTGAACTGACGGTCCACCGGCGAGAATCAATAATGAACAGTAACAGTTCACTGGTGATTTGTAGGTCACAATGACTAGGCCAGTGGACAGGTGCCAACAGGCCTTTTAATGCTTTCTGCCCACTAACGGTTATCAGTACTCCAACAGGTTCAAGAACATGCATATAACTTTGGCTTCACTTACGACCTAGAGCTTAGAACCCAGGTTATTGGTGACCCGTTTGTTGTTTAATTACAGGCCAAGTGAGCGCCGGTGGGTGGAATAAACGAGGAAATTAAGACGCATAACGTGACTCACAGGGGTAGTACAGGGACGAAACTAGCGGCTACGTGTGCAAGACGGACAAGCCACGAGCCAGGTCACCAAAAACGTGTATTTTACCAGGAGTCGAAGGCTCTCACACGAATGGCGCCTTGTTCCCTGTAGATGTTTTGAATATTTTGATACGAGAGTCAAGGGATTTGATAGTGCCGAGAACATTTGGTCAACTGTATAACGTACCATTTTAATTAGGCATTTCCGAGGACTTTTTAAATATCACTTTCTTTTGGAGTGACAATAGAGGAACCGGAGGGGACGTTAGATGCATCGCCGTACGTAGTCCTTACCAGGCGTAAAACAATATATATATCACTCTCTACAATAGTGTATTACGCCAAGGTTTGGCTGCATTTAGTTATCCCTGCAATTTTATATGCAAGGTTGTTTCCGTTGGTCTGCTTTTATTCTTTCTAACCTGCCTGAGAAGGACGTCTGTCCACTCATACGTTAAGTGAAAATCCATTCCTCCGGTGAGTCACGTTTCCATTTCCACACCTACGAAAAATGTACTTCTCTAACTTTTCTATAGAGGAGAATGTCGGTAGCTCAGATAGCGTAGATGGTCGTTGGCTTGTTCGCTGAGCTGGACAATTTGGCTGCAAACGTTTCATCACCAATCGAGGTGACATCATCAGTGCGTAGTTGTGCGTAGCGGTGGGTTAGTGGTTGTGCCTAGCCAACAAGTTCTTCTTCTCTAACTTTTTACCGTTCCACTCATGAATAGCGACACCTCTCCTGTCATCAGTAACATTTTCAGACCTTACTAGGAATGTCTTCAATCACTGCTTGACCGCAGTCACCTGCACAAAAAATATTGATTCCTTTTCTAAGTAGCCACCTTGCTAACCATGGGGACCATTAATCTATTTTGCGCTTCAAATTTTGTGTATTTTAGGCACTGTTTGACAAGAACATACAGATTCAATGTCATTCGGACGGGACTTGCAGAAATATGTGAGCATCTGTCTGTTTATAGCATGTAGCTTCAATCCTCACCAAGGATGTGACTGCTTTGGTCTGAATGTCTAATGGTGTAGTCTCGGTGGCAGCAATGAGTGTGTCTCCCTTCACTCTGGTCAATATACTGCACTGGTTTACTAATCAGTGTCCACAGAAAAGAGTATTTCGTACTTGGCGACATGGTCCCACCACTAAAGCAGAAAGTCAGCTAAGTACAGGCAACAGGTCATCTTCAGGGGGTAATGACTTACCCCAAGAACGGCGAATTAAGGGAGACTCTTCAGAAATCCCAAGATTTGTCCAGCCCCCCACTCTTTACTGAAAATCGTCATAATGGTGCGACTCTGACCTTGCAATGCTTGACAACGTTGTCAAGTTACCACGTCGGCCAAGGCACTGGTGACACACACACCAGGTGTATTTGCTATGCTTGACACTAGGATCCTTTTGCCAGAACAGCATGAAGTACCATAATCAACTTCGCCTTCAATAAAGGCACTGCAAGTAAGTGTTGTAAGAAGTGTGAGCTTGGTGTGTTTTGAAATCCGAAGGGAGGGTTCGTTTTGACGTATCGGAAGTCAGAATCTTCATTTCAAATGGATGTAGTCCGGCTACTCGTATAAAATAGATATGTTAGAATAACCCCACTGTGATAGGAGCTTTACCGTTGTCTCTTCAATGGAAGTTGATCCCCTGGCAAATAGGCTCAATTACCAATTTCGTGTGAAGTGACGTTACACATGTAGGCAGCCGACAGCCAGCAAATGTGGTTGCTCTACAAAACGACTGCATATGTAATTGCAGATTGCCAAATCTGCCCCGTGTGAGCTTTGGAGTGACTATCGGTTATCTCAGGTAGTTCGCAAAACGTGCAAATAAAATGAGGACAGAAAACCGTAGGATCGTGAAGGAATAGCCAGTAACCGCACTCAATTGAAATCGTATTGTGCGGATGAATATGTCGTTCTTCCAAGTCCCTCATAGTATTCCTGTATAATTTTGAGCACTATTACCGTATTGCCTAAGTTTTGCACAAAAAATGCCACAATGATATGCGAAGCCTGAGAAACCAATGACGCCCGCTTGTTGTGATGACAGTGATACCAGTAAGACGCAAGTAAAATATCGCTAGTAATCGTACTAATGATACCAATAGTACAGAATAATAAAACGTCGATTGAAATCTACAACCATGATTATCAAAATATTGTTTAACCTTGTTTAATCATCTCTTAACAGGTTTAATTTGACGGCACATTTGTAGAGGACATACTTGTTTTGCCTAATGTGTGCGGGAAAGATTTCGATGAACTACCAGTTTTTGCCATAAGTGCTGAAGAACGACGAACCATTTTCAAAGGCCTGTCTCGCATTTCTTGAAGCGCCGATTCTATATCATCGAACAAGTGATTGAGTAATCGCACCTCAGCTCTGAGGAAATCAGTATCTGGAATGCATTAGTGAAAAGTCACATAGGTTACACATGAGAAACTGGTAAAAGGTGCAGAATGATCATCTATCCTGGGTGGGCTAGTTGTAAGCTTGACCGCACGCTCAATCCAAATTCACTGAATTATTCGTTCAGAGGTGATACGCGTTTGAATGAAATCATCCAACCACGCTGCAACAAAATATTAGCACTTTTTTAGTAGTAAAATCACAGGTTTGATTTAGTGGGTATACTGAGGCCAATAAATATCTATATGCGGCAGTGGTTGTCAAAAACAACAGTGGCAGCATTGTGTTAGGTGTTTCGAATCTGCGAAGGTGTGCGAATAGGGAATTCGCTTAGCACAGCAAAACAAAATGTGGCTGTCACATACCTTTACGGCTAAGTCGAGGGCTAACAGAACGGTATTGAATTGAAAGTCCTTGATTTCATTTGAAAACGCTGTTCTTATGCAATGATAAGTTCATCTAGATTTTAGAGAGTATGATGTATTCGGCCAAGTGAGCAGAACGTGCAGCGCAGTGCGCTTTATTCACAAACGATTACACAAACGCACCAGTGGAAAAGCACCTGCCATTCCTCAGGGCACAACCTCCTTCAAAAATGTGAATGCATTTCGGACAATAAACTATTGAAGAGCCCAGTAACAAGTGGCACCATGTATATGCCGAACTGCTCAAGGGTACAAGATTGCTTGCGAGTTATCAGTAAGCAAAATATAGCGTTGTGCCATGTTAACCAGATGCCGAGACCACTCTACTCTTAAAACGGAACTTATGTTTTCTATATGGGAAAATCTCGGTATCTCAGGTAGCGTAGACGGTCGTTGGCTTGTTCGCTGAACTGGGTAATTTGATTGCAAACGTTTCATCACCAATCCTGGGGGGGTTATGGGTTGTGCATAACCACCAACCCACCGCTACGCACCACCACGCTCCGCAATAACGCACTGATGATATCACCTCGATTGGTGATGAAACGTTTGAAATCAAATTGCCCAGCTCAATGAACAACCCAACAATAGAACTCATGTATACAGAATCAGATAGTTCTGGCTTCGGTTTTCCTCTGATTACATTTGAAAGCCTCACATCTGGAGACTCACTTATTGAACAACCATCGTAAGAGGTGCACTCAGGTGACAAAATCCATTGCAATAGTTCTACACATGTAGTCCGTAATTCCCTCATATGCTTCATAAAATAACTGGCGAAGGTGGTTTGGTAATTTTTCTCGAAGTGCTCTAGTTATTTTGAAAATATCTCTAACAAAGAAAAAGTACTCGTTTAACAAGAAAGTCGTATAATATATTCGACTAGATTGTGACTGATGTCTTTTCGAGGTCTAGGGAAACAAATAATCCTATTCCCTGATTTTCCTCGAAAAATTGATATATTTGATGGATTATGTTGGAAGATTCGCGAAGTGGATATATGTCACTCAGGATAAGGGGCCGGTATCGGTAATCAGTTGATATATCACCAGAGTATTTTCCGCAGTGAGCCAGCTGCTCGTAAATTGACATCAAGTTAAATATCAGCTTTTGTCCGCCTGTCTTCCAGTGACGTTAGCGGTGGTCGGACAATCATTGGATTAATTTTCAACTTACTAGGCGGTTGCATTTGAGGTTCCAAATTTTGGTATGTCATATAATTAGTTTGGCTCCAAACTAGTTCAGCCCAGTGGACCGTGGTTTTGACATGGTAGTTGGATTTTCTCACATTCGCGTGATACCTTGGGGGCAGCTGAATCAATATTTGTGAAGGCCAGTTATCACTATATTTACCGAAGACTAGAATTAAGCGGTCAACCGTTTAACGGCACACAGAGACCACTTGAGTGTTCTACCGTGTTCACGTCGCATTGTCCAAGTGTCACCTTAGTTGAAACCACGGTCATATCGCCATACAATCCAAGCTGTATTCGGGTAATAGGAGATGAGACAAACAGCACAATGAAATAGATTTTTTCCAATACTATACACATTCTTATCATGCTGGATGACCGAACTTTTTGTTTACACTCGGTAGAAATCAGACGAACTCGAATTTAACCAATTTACTTGAAGTTCACCAGCAATAACTACTATTTGAGGTAATACACTGTTTTTTAACCAGTTTAAAGAAGCTACTGAAGGAATTCACAGAGAATATTTATATCCAATCCTCCGGCCGTATAAGTCAGCATGCTGCCGCGAAGTCTGGTGGAAAAACACCAGGGACGATTAATCAAAGTATCCGACGTCTCCGCTCACAGCTGACAGGTCACAGAATGTCCTGGTGTTCAGTTTCTAGATGGAGAATTGAAGAGACTTGTGGATGATTCACATCTGACAGTGCTCGAATGGACCGGTATGATACTTATCGGTTTTTCCTTAAGTGGGCTAACTATATTAGCATAACATACTGGATTGCCATGTCACTTGTCCCGAAAAAGTCAGATGTTCAGCTCTAAGTTGTGACCAGCATCCGACACCCTATAGAAGTATCCAGCAACGTCAGTTAAAGTCCTAGGATTGAGCTATTCGCCCACAACTCACCAACTTCATCCGGCCTCGTTGCTGTGATAATCTTATTAGAGGAATCCGTTGAACCTTGCAAACTTATCTTCCGTGTATTTCTTGAATACGAATCACCAATTGAGCCAGAAGAAGACGGTTTCGATGAATAGTTCTCTTCCACTTCTGGACAAATAAGTACCGGACTAGGCAGATTGGAGAACAAGTTGGATGTAAAATGTGTAGATAGCATGCATATCACAATTCTTCCACACTTGTGGAAAGTATGGTTCAATAGATAAGTTGGTACCTTTTAGAACATTTTCTCAGCTTGTATCACTCGGATTCGTTGTAGAAGGCTCTGCTACAGGCATACATGCATTAAACCATTCCAAATATAATAAAAATGGTAGGGTGAGAAATGCTTTGCTGCACAGAGTACAGTTGCAGTGTTATCGTCTGATATAGAAAAAGTTTCTTGGCCGTACACAGAGAAATATACCGAAAATTTAATGCGACATCTTAATAGGACATATTTAAGCCAGCAGTTGGTTGGAGGAAGTTTTAATCGATCGATTTTATTTCAAAACTTCGGTGAATCGCGGCTTCCTATTTTTTATTGAATCCAGATGACCAAGAAGTAATGTCTCTTGATGTCTCTCTTGATGTCTAGAATGACGATCAACCTCTCAAGATTACCCAAGTTTGCGTATTGGTAAACGCACTCTGATAATAAGATATTTGAAGCCCTGTTTGGGCAAAAATGAGCTTTAGGGAGAGAACGCACAATAGCGCCAGGTAATCCTGCGTTTAAGCTTGCGTATCACAGATCTATTGTTCGTTTTTTAACGCTTATTAGAGCAGTCAGCAATGCAACAGGATATTCCATAGCAGAAGCATATGCATAGCTCTTGCACATTCACTAGCCATGTTAGAAATGTGTTGGAATATTGGTAGCTCGGGTGCACTGCTTGGTAATTGAATAGGTAGCTGTTGGTCTGTTCGTCGAGCGTTGGAATTCATTTACAGACGATTCGTCACTGTTCGACGAGACATCTTCCGCTCACTGAGCATGCCATTCTACTGAAACTTGATGAATTCACAAATAAAGCTTCTGTACTGATGCGAAAGATTCCGTTTTGACATGCCGACAAGCTGACTGATGACGGACAAAATTCTGCGTGTCTGACGGATAATCTTCTTAACTCGAGTTTGCATTGTCATCAGCGCACCGCAAGCGGTGCCGTCATTGGCTCCTCAAAACCGCTTGTGTGGATCACCAGTGAATCAACCGCTTTCAATCAGAATATTTGTTCCGGTTTCCCGTCGGTTATATACGTACAGACATATGATCATTATTCTCGAGTCAGCCAAGTTTTGGGGCAGCAGTCTATAAACAGCACCATTCTTTCCAACAAATCAAATATCTCCGTGAAATCTGTCATTCTCCTTGTTACCAATGCACCGCAAAGTTAAAGTTAAACTTGCCTACTCCATCTTGCCGAGCGCAGCTGGGCGCCCGGGATGGCTGTTTAGCTCATCATTTAAAACAGCCACACACACTTGATCTTGCCATTTCCACCCATGTCGAGGGTGGCCTCGAGTTTTGAGGTTTTCCATTGAAGTTGATGTGTCTTAACTCCTCTTTGTTTTTGGCTTCTTATACTGCTTTCTCCTTGATCTCTTTCCTAGAGTCTAGCCGTTCAGTCCATAATCAGACGTCTTTCTCTCTCCTCCTGAGGCAGCATTATCAAGGCCAGTGACTCATTTGTTCCACCAAAATAATGTTGCAAATCTGGCCTGAAAGCCCGGAAGATAATGCATAGGGGATTCCTAACGTTGCTACGTACAGTAGTTGTATTCAGAGCCACAATGGACTTTTTCTTCTCTACCATTCCGATTAGTCGTCACGTTTAACTGTTGGGTTATCGACATGTGCAATCATTTTGGCCCCTATTAGAGATCACCTCATTGCTGTTTCCATTTGTATGTCGCTGTTGGTCGTCGGGGAGAAAGTGCAATGTCCTGGTTTAAATGCAACAAAGAACACTACAGCCGTACTACGTCGGTCACCTTTGATTTTGCAACCAGTTAAGCTCCATCTTTAAGGTGCGGTTAACAATCGTTAAATGATAGAATACTTAGAAATACAATTTGGTAATTTGCAGGTTACATCCATCCGCAAATCCAACGGATTCTCAGTAATTATGAACTACAGGGAAAATGTTAGCTTAAATATACGTCACTTAATGGCTGATATCACCACAATCAAACTGACCACATAGTAGCGCAGCAGAAATCAGACCATCGCTGAAACAATTATTTATGAGTGATTTGTATATCCCAAAGAATAAAACNAGCTGTGGTTTGACTGATATTCACTGTATGCTGCGAACTCATTAAAAGCTGGACAAATTTTACAGCTGCAATAACCAAGCTTTGAGGGGTTCCAGCAGGCAAGTTACTTCAAGGAGCCAGCGAAAATGGCCAGTTAGTAGTGGTCTACTCTGCTATTTTTCCCTTCCCAAAAGATGCCCTGGGAACGATTCGATGATTATCGGACTGAGTGTATCTACGTAGGAACTCGTCCGTACTATAAAAGACTGCAAAATCTTCCAGTAGAACGGGTTTGTGTTCTTTCCATAGCCATCCATTATAGTTTCGCAGGATATTTGCCTACTGCCGAGAAGCCAAGTGTTCTAAACTTTTCAACAGCTCGCGGAAGACCTGATAACATTAACTCAGTTGCTTGAGCACCTTAGACTCTGATGATGCAGTTTTTTGCTTCGAGCCAGACTACTGAAAGAGTTCTCTATGAGTGAATGCGTAATTACTATCAACTTTCTTGGGCGTATATCCAACTATTCGCCACTATTTCGTGCCGTTCGTTTTTCACTAAAGCCATTTTTCGGAGGTTTGTCAGCATACGCTTACAAATAGCCAGTAGACCATTGTTACCTCCGGTTTGAAATTTTTTCATTTGCCTTCTACAACCTCATATGCCGCGTGACATTTGATTTTCTTGACGACAAACTTACAAACCCATAAATGTTTTAACCACACATAACAAATCCTAGGTGTTTGTGCTCACATATTGGGGAATTTCTTTTCACTTTCTCTAGCTTTGTTGATTGCTTCGACAACGAGTTGCGCGGGAACGTCCAGGATCTGTGAAAAAATGTGGAAAGCCTATAAGTTATACTCAGTCAAAGTTTGTGTAAGCAGCGCAGCCACTAGATAATGTCACCTCTTTGCGAATTTACTGACACAGATTGACCTTGATCGTTCATTGGTTGTCCCGTCTTCAGTTGCGGTAGGCCGTAACTGTTCGTTTCTGTTTGTTTGGTAAAACAAGGCTATCTGTAACCTGCTAGTTTGCACAATTAATGATGGAGTCAGGACTGGTAATGTGGTGGAAACCTTAATCCGATTCCTAAATCGGACTGGTCTTCATGGGAACCATTCCATTCATGACCGTGAATGAGTCCATTAAATGGATCTAAGAAAAACAAACCCTCCCCAAACTGATGGGACAAGTTTCCCACTATCCCAATATCCGTCCAACGCACGTTGGACGCATCTGAATTTTATGCGTCTGAACAGGCGATCGTGTTCACATTTGTGCGATGTCTGCCCGACTCATCGAACGACGACCCAGTAACTGTCCTGGTTGTGACGATCGATTGACCTGACATTCAGGACTTCCCAGTCCGGGGTTGTTCATAAACTTGCACCGTGTTGTAAGATTTGGACCGCCTAACGGTTAACTGCTGAACAATAACAGTCAATGTCTCACAGTTAAGCGAGTTAAGAATTTTGCGTCGCTGAGCACAAATTGAAGTATTTTTGGGACATATGATTATGAGGAGCTTTATTAGCCCAGAAATATCCCGAAACTCGCACAAAGATGACAACCGTCTTCGGCGAGTAAGCCACGTGACTTAGAGAAATGTTGTGCTACACACGATTGATCCCCTTAAGAGGGACCAACTGTTAAGAAGCCTCTAGGATAAATAACTTTTTCTATGGTAGAACATCTGACCGAAAATTATGTGTGGATATTTGGATTAAAATAGCGGTCAGCTAAACCAGTTTTTATAATTATTCGTTAAAAACCTTTACATATCAGCTCAGGCCACTTGTGTCCTGTTTTTCATCAAGACATTTCAGGAACTTCTGGTGGTAACACTTGGATATACAAACGAATCTTAAATGCTCGAAAATCAAGACATTTTGAATACACAAGCAGCATTCAGTCAGCACCGAAAGCTGTCTATCAATGCATTTCTTGCAGTTCAGACATTATAGTGAATGCACCAGAGCCGTTCATAAACTGCTGCTTTTGGTATTTTATCGCTTTTTTCATTAACAGTACCGATTCCCTATTTATGGTCACTCGCTGCATTCGCATGCATTGCAGTATCAACTATGCTGGTTCTTCTTTAAGCCTTCTGTTTAAACTTTGAATGTTTGTGTCTGTGGCGTTCCTATCCGCAGTCTTTTCTAGGAATTCTGTTGCACCATGACCTCTGAATGAGTTCATTTTAAAGGCCTTCCACCCTTTAAACCACTACACTTCGTGATACAGAGTAACGACTGAGCATACGCCTTCAGATTCAGTTTCAGACTTTGTTTCGATAGGTCGCTGAGAAACATAGATAACTGCGCCTAAGGTTCGGTGGTTTTCATTCGAAAACGATTAGAAAGACATCATGCGTATCTTTATTTGACTTTATCGGATTTTAAAAAGGACAGAAGCGCTGGTGAGCCTGAATGTTTCAAGATATGACCGCAAGTTCAACCAAGATTATCGCTTTAAATCCATGCCAATGGTTTGGCAATTATCTGAGAGTATGGATGATTTATCTTTGAAAGCGTCTGACGATTCAGCTAGGTCAGCAGTCGATTTTCAATGTACTGGAAATGAAAAGACTTTTAAAAAGGCCGAACAAAGTGAAATTCAACGGTCTTCGCTAACGTTCGTAAGAGATTGACATCTGCTGTATATCCTTCTTGATTTTGTCATGTTTAATAGGTCTGGGATTCTCTAATGAGTAGCCTGATTCACTCCTGTCTAAGTTTGGCTTACCAGGTACTGCAGCGCATAATTAAGTGACTTTTTTTACAGTAGGCGATACACATTCATAATTTGCAGTTTGGCAAATTTTTCCGAATGCTTTTGAGGACTGCCACTTTTAACGAGTTTACCACAAGACTACTACAACAGGTTTTGTGGCTATGCTTTTGTAACACCTTCTATTTCTGTAATGATTAAAACTTTCACGGTCAGACAGGTCTCGTTACTTTGTTTATAGTTCACTTACTTAAACAAATACTAGGAAAGTTGTTCCTCTGTTTAGCCATTTTTTCTTGCTCGAAAAAGACGAAACTATTGAAGATATCTACGGTAAACTTTATGTAGTCACTGATGATCCATTATTATCGCGATATATTTCTAACCTCATTTTACAAACGCTTTTCATCTGGTCTGGTACAGTTGAGAGGAGACCCAAAGAGTCACATGCGGTGGAAAACAGTGCTTCATCATTCTGTCAGATCGTAAATGCAAAGTTTGAGAATTTCAAACACAGGTGCGTTTTGAAAGTTACACTAACCTGAAACGCATGCAGCTCGTTGTGCTCCGGTTCTCCGTTTGGTAGCGATTTCGCATCTATTTGAAACAAAATCATATTGTTGTTTTCACCCGCCAAGCTGTCTGACTTGAAGTTCAAAGAACGAATGGTCGAAAGTGGAAATCTTTCCAGTTCTTGCTTTAAAAATAAAATAAAATAATAAAATAAAAGAAAAATAAAAATAAAAGAAAATGGGACTAATTAATTGGGAGATTTTATTCTTATTCATTGTTGAATTAACTGTCGGGATGAAATGGAGGTAATAAAATTAGGTTCACCACAAAAATTTTGAGGCAGCTCGACAAATTCATTACTGGCTTGTACATTCATTATCTTGTTTATTTATTTTTCAAACAACAATACCCCAGTTCTATTATCATTTTTGGCCTCACAAGATAGCGTTTTTTGCCTGAATTTACGTCACCGTAATCTTATTTATAGTTCAATCATTTAAATAATTGATTTGATTTAATTCATTTCAGTTTGATTCACCACTGCGGAACACCAAGTTTTCGGGCTAATATATGTTAATTCAAAGAACCATTCTGGAGCTGATCGTCGTGTAAACTAGCTATCATTAATTAAATCGGTTTGACAGGAAACGTAAAAATTTATCACTCCCATTTAATCCCATCAGGACCGTTTCCGAATGTATAATGAATCTTCCGGAAGTGTTATGTTTCTTGCTTACGGTATCTGAAAGAACTCCTGTATTTTTTTCGTTGACTCCATCTTTCTACTCAGTTTTGAATTTCCACTTTATTCATCAAGTATGAACAAGTATGAGACAGACATATTGTATTACAAAGCGCACTGCAAAGGAGTGATATACCTATTTCGTCGTCACAGATAGGACGGGTTCTACCGTACAACATGACTTGAAAGCATACTGTTTCAGAAACCTCAAAGCATGGGATCTTTGGACGTAGTGTCGCTAGGACGTAATGGAGCACACAAAATGGAATAACACACGACTGGAAATCTACGTTTTATTTTTCTACAAATTTCCCAGATAATATTTAGGAGAGTAAATAGAGGTGTCTATTTGACATGAACCTCATTCCAACTTTAGGGAAAGTTATAGTAGCCAAATTAACGGTGTTTGATCCATTCTGTGAGGATAATATTCTTACCTAAAAGGCATTGATTTGAGCTGTTGTAAGGTCGAGTATAAGGTTGATGCACATCGTTGATAATGTGCAACCTTCTTCAACATTGCTGGGCTCACTTGATAGCGTTGAACACAGGAATTATAGTTTAAGCCATATGCAGTTTCAGGGAAATCTTTTGTTGCTCCAGTCCCTGTTCAACTTAGCCGAAGATACCATAAAACAGAGATTCAGCTGGTTTTCTGTTTGGTCTACCATTAACTTTAAAGTGATTCACAATTGGATATAGTTTGCGATCGCGTACAACCTGCAGTTCAAGTGGAAAATAAAACTGATATCTTTAGAGCTACAAAAGGAAAGTTTGTGAGTTTCCAATGGTTTTCAGCAGCTCTGTAAGTAGTATCATGGCGCAAAAAACGCTCTCCTGTTTTGATTACTGTTCAAGCTAAATAGTAAGGCTGCCTTGGTAGCGCAATTCGCTGAGGGATACTATAATCAGGAGATTTAGTTCACGTGCACGAAAATAATTTGAACAAGAATTCTGTCGCTTGGTTTAGAACGCCTACATAATCACTTCGCCTTTTTCAGGTCCAAGACGAAAATGCTCAGCTCTGGCAGCAGCAACAAGTGATGCGTTTGACATCACTATGACGCTTATGGCGACATCGCTGCTAGGTTACAGGAAGCTCGATCACACGATCCTATACTTTTGCCTAATACTATATCTTATTCGCAGACTGTTACATTTTGTCTACTACACACGCCTCAAGACTTGAGTTGGGGACAGCATAGCAAACCGTAAGTTCATCTAAATTATTCACATTCTTGAGGATTTGGCTTCCTGGCTGGCAAAATTTGAAGCCGGATGATGAGAGATGTTTCGGTGTTTTGTAAATTTATTTGATTTGTCGTGGTTTTCGCACACCCTTTTAGCAGAGGGGAAATGATAAAACGATGTATAACTTTTTTTATCTCTTACATTTTGTTCAACTATCACAAGGGATTTTTCATAAGCGTCCTCTTCGATTACCATTTGAACTCGTATACGCTCGTCTTTGGGTTGGTTTTTCAATAGCTCAATCGCGTCTGACATATTGATGAGCGGAGATGTGGGGGAACTTGTGAACGTCTTCACGTGTTCCACTTCAAACTTGACGGAGACTTGGCCGTTCGATTTTTCATCCATGGTCACGATGCTATATTATTAAAAGTTGAATGTGAGTAATTCAAAAAGAATAAGAATAAAAAGTGTAAAGTGATTTTGGCATCAATAGGATCTCAATGAAACCAGGTGTTCTTGGGGTTACAACATACTGAGCCTGAGTTTTCCTCTTTATGAAATCAGCTCATTTAATTTCTTTATTGGGTGTTGGAGATGATGCAATGTGCTGGTTTACCGCGTGTTACCGTGTTTTTTACGGACTGCTACAAGTGAATCATCGTCTTTCAGGATGTCGTTTTCAATTGGAATGAAGATCTTCATAGCACCTGGTTTATCAATAAAACCGAATTTTATGGAATATCCACTTGTACTCCTAATAACCAGTTAATGGAGTGGTCCATTGATCGTTTGAGGGAAGGACAAGTGGCTATGTGGCCTACAACTGTGATCATATTTTACTATACTGTGACAAAAGAAAAATATGGCATATTTGCTTTGAGGTATGCAGCTTAAAGTCTTCAGATCAGTGATGCACGCTCAAACTGTTTTCAAAAATCAATACGGGTTATGTGAATAGTCTGAGAAACAGAAAGAACGGACCAACAAATAGAAGAATGTCAGTATGCAGTCAATCAAGAATGGAAGTGATTTTCCACAAGGGTAACAAAAAACATATGACTCTAACTAACGAAGCGCCTAGCTAAAAGCCTATCGAAATTTGCTGAGTAAGAATGTGAGCCTCTACAACACGGAGTTTGAATGCAACTGCAATGTATTCAAATCACCTTTCCAACTCAAAAAGCTTAATGCTTTCTCATTGTGTCTTTCAAATATACTTTGTTTTTATTTGTTTTTCGGAGCTGTCAACTCCGTGATAAGAACCGCGGATTAGGCTTCGCCGTAAAAATGGCTGATGGGTTTTGAGTTCTATGATTTAGCACCTGTCACCCCAAGTCCACATCTACCAGCTCATGTATTTTTAATCATTTCCCGTAGCCCTCGGTTGACTGATCCAATTCATCCCAGTTTTTTTTCTCACGAAAATGAAACTACTTTAATTTACTAGCCAGGTACCGTAACCTAACGTTGGATGAGGTACAAGTGGGAGTGAATTCCTCGGGGTGGATTACTTCCCAAGACACTCGCTGGCCAGGCCAAATTTCGAACTTGAAAATTCCCGCCTAGCGGTTCATCAGCTTTACATCTATAAGCATCTCCTCAAACGAGCTACTGCCATTAATGTTGGTTGTTGATTTTTTCACTAAGACACGCTATTTTGTTAAAACCTATGGGCTTCAGCCAAAGTTATAACGATAGGCGTGGATTTTTTAGCGGTTAAATGAACAACTTGCAGTTGCATTTGTCTTCGCAGTATGTTTGATCAGAATAACAAGAATCTGCGGGAGCACTTCCGAAGTTCCCGCTACCTTTGAACTTGAAATGCACATTATCTTGTAACGTAGACAACGTATTACCGTAAGCAAACGTGACTCCTCCAGCCTTCAGCTCATAAAACAAAGAGCCTTCAAGCAGCCTTTGTAGTCTTTACAATGAATTAGGTTAGATGATAGCACATGGTGAAACTGGCACGGCATATTGTGACCATCGTAGACAGATATGAGAAGTTTGTAGCTAGGAGCCGGACTGTTACTTCTGAACAATTTTATTTGGACTCGCAAAGCCGTCATAAAGAGACTGGACCTTACCGTTGTGTGTCGGCTTGCGTCCCTCAGCTATCCATTAATTTATACTGGGGGTGCCCCCGTGACATTCACAGTCTCTCATACCAGGTTGAACGGTGGTTAGAGGACTGACAAACACAGTCTCTTAGTCCTCCAGGTTGGGGGTTGGAACAATTGGCAATGCATTTCCCACCAAAAATTGCCGCTTGTGGATAGACTTTTGAGTCAAAGGCTTTGAATGATGACCCTAATCGTCCTCCCATCACGGTGTGGGTGCTCTGACAGTATCCCAGCCCACGTACAAGCATGAAAGCTACGTCAAACGATGAACTCATCCACATTGGCTGTCGCGTTGTTGGCTTGCTCGGGCAGCGGAACAAAAACGTCTTTACGCTTTCGACAATCGTTGTCGCAGTACCATAGCTCGTGTGGGCTGGTGTCACGAATCCGTAACGAGGCAATTAGAAAGCGAGTTTTTGGTTGAGCAACGGGTACTACCCCCAAAGACTGTGTACAGCACCAAAGTTTGCGTTGGTTGGGACATGTGTTACAAATCTCTAATCGTCGTTTACTGAAAAGAGTGCTGTTTTCCGTGGAGAAAACAGAGTGGTGGCCAACTTCTAACCTGGAAAAGGGTACGAAGAAGCTTACGGAGCGTTTGGATTGTGTCGGTGCTAATTGCCTCTCAGGAAGGGGACTGCGTGATCCCAAGTGCGCCTAGTTGGAGGCGCTGCAAGATATGGCTTCTAACCGATGTCAGGGGCGTTCTTGTTATCAGTTTCTCTTCAGATTGTCTGGGTGAACGTCTGGAGATGTAGGCACCTAAGAATGAATGTGGTAAACTGGCACTAGTTCCCTTCCCCGTCCACCTCTATTCTTTTCTTCACAACGAGGCTTTCAATTAAATCATGTTTGTACGGCAGCGAAGAATCGCTTTTGGATACTGATGTCATGCTGTCGATGATGATTTTTATTGACTCGCAACATACTTCGCAGATTTTCCGCATTCAATTATTTTTTGTGAACCTGCCTAGTTTCATGAAAAACTGCTTGTTTGTAGGCAAATGTTCGATTGTGATCAAAGCACAGAGTTAGCATTTGCGCATACTGGCATTACTGCTTGGATTTATTACCTGGAACTTGAGAACTTGAAATAAGACCGGTACTGACCGAAGTTAACAAAAACTTCTTAACTGGGTATACCCCAGAATGTTGTGAGCGTAATACGGTCTCTATAATTACGTACTTATGGGCGTGTGGGAATGTATGATTGGGCCTTAAAATCCGACATACAAAAAGTGAAGTCCCACAAGAATGTCTATTCTCGCCTTTCTTGTCCAACTTCATATACGGTGAAATAATAGAGCCAGCGCTGGAACTTCTTCAAAAACAGTACATGATTCGTATCGGTAAGATGCTTGTCAGTCTGGAGTACGCAGAAAAAACTCGTCCCCATCTTGAAGAATAAAGACGAAGCACAAGCCCTGTTGAATACACTGAATACCGTCACATCATCCTTTGGCCTGTGTCTTTCATCCTTGAAGTGCAAAGTCATGCTTCAGAAGGAGCAGTCTTTGAACATACCCCTTGCAATCCAAGGAGAATTTTAAATACCCCGGTCGTTGTATTACTTCTGACAGAGATGTGTCAGATGAAGTTAGTGCAAGAATCTCAAAAGCCCGAATCACACTTGCTAATTTGCGTCCCTTGTAGGGTTAGAAAGTTTTATCACTCTCTCTCACGGTTCGCGTGTACCAGGCTACAGTAAGGCCTATGTTGTTGCATGATTGCAAGACGTGATCTCTGCGGACACATGATGTGAGGCGTCCTCAGGTTTTCGACCACCGATGCCTCAGAAGCGTTACTGATGTCGGATGGCGTTAACGAATTCGTGACGAGGTAATTTGCCAACGGTGTTTGGTTGTGTCCTGCCTACTTCAGTTGCGAATAACACCCAGCCCCATTAATGGCGGTAGCTTGGCTATGTGCTACACGTGTGGGAACATCGTCCACCTAGATGTGTATGTTTCTCTATGAGCTGCCCCGCGCTTGGCTACAGACATTAGAAGAAATGGTGGCTGTCGATGTCCCTGACGTTCATTCTGTCAGTTTCAATCCAGACTGTTTGTCTGAGCATTTGAAGTTTTAGGCGCCGCCGAATATTTCCTGTAAGCTGGCATCGGGTCCCCTGTTTCACCCCTTATTTTCTCTTTTTCTTTTTAAAGCTTCCAGTATAATACAGGAAGCCGTAGGACAGTGATGTACCAGTGTCAACACTAAGACTGCTGTCTCTGATGATTAATAACGATGCAGTTAAACTGGCTCTAATGGCTTTGTCCCATCCTCAAACTTGTTATCGCATAACATTAATGCATTTGATAGTTGTCGCACATCAAAGAAGGAGCGATACAAAAATATTCTTAGGCTGCACGTCCCCTGTGGTGTCACGCTATGTGACTGGTGTTCGGCTTTAAGTTGCATGACATCAGGTGTATATAATTTCAGCGTATCAAACAAAGTGTGTCAGAACGCATCAGAAATATCAGCTGATTGAAAATACCAGTCACGGGCTAAATAACCTGCTTCAAAGTACACTTCATGTTGCGTAACAAAAAATGAGAACTCTTACAATCAGATTGCGTCTTTAGTTATCCTGTTTATATTATATGCTAGCAGGTGCTTTGGTCTCAAGCGCGACTTTCTTTCACGTGTACGGTCATCCCACCGTCAGTATGTGGATCCAAATCTTCCAGAGAAGATTGATTGAAGACGGAAGGCACGAAGAAGACCTCTGAAGTTCCATATACAGAGAGAAAGCCCAGACCAAGTCATCTGCATGGACGATGTCACTGATGAGCTTACATCAAACGGCCTAATTTTCCGTACGAAAGCAGTTTCCGGCTGGATTGACCAGTTTGTTGTAAAATAATTACTGTCGTCTGACTCCGCCTTTTTAGCTGGCAAAACTAAACATCCAGCGGTGTTTTGCTTGTGGTCCTACTCGAACAACGGAGACTGCAGCGGCCCTTTTATTCGGCCGATTTTTCTGACAAGTTCTCATGTAGATTGCGACATTATTTGTTCACTTTGTCGCCAAACATATTTTCAATCCGAGGTGACCACACTCAGTTAGCTTGGTAAATCTGTCATAATTTCGGATTTTTCTGACAAGTTCTCATATAGATTGCGATATTATTTGTTCACTTTGTCGCCAAACATGTTTTCAATCCAAAATGACCACACTCAGCCAGTTAGCTTGGTAAATCTGTCATAATTTCAGTGCTAATCACCTCAGGAAAAAAATACTATTCGGCAAATACCCACCGATTGATTTTTTGCCCGGTAATCTGGGATGAAAAGTTGTTGCTATGAGGAACGTTGTCATGGGGCTGTGGAATAGCCGTCAGCTTGTCTGTGCAACCTCTTGAAAAGTGGCGCTGTTTTCCGTCAGCGTTTCACGGCCGGAGGTGAAATCCCTGAATTGAAGTCTTAGAGTAGGAGTAGGTACCTCGAAATGATTGTGATAAGCTAGCACTAAGTTCCTTCCCCCTCCACCTTTATTCTCTGCTCTACAATAAGGCTTTCAAATAAATCATGGTTGTACGGCAGTAAAGCACCGGTGTTGAACACTGATTTCATGCTGTCGATGATGATGATGATAATGATGATGACGATGATGAGTCATAGAGTTCGCCAATTGCCCTCTAGTGTTCGCCATGTACTCATGATATCAAAGGTATCAGGCATGATCATTTTCATTCAGTGATGAAAACAACTATACCCTTGAATCCTCTCACAAGTACGAGTGTAACTTTTCTCTGTTCAAAAAACCACGTACATTACTTTTAAAAGTAAATTCTGCAAGTATTTTGATGCATATGCGAATGTCGCTTGATTATTTTTCCAGAACATTTTTTTAAATTTACTCCACATCTTTCAACAGACTGAATTCAATGGATTTCTTTAGATGGTTATTTCGGAGCAAGAATGCAGCTTGCGACAACAATAGTGTATTAAAGAGAATACTAGCTTAATCATATAGAGTTGTCGAATAATCGGTACCTTTTCATCTACAGTGGTTATGTGAAAATCTCGGCTTTCTGAACAACTGAGGCACACATCTCAGTTATACCCCCGCATGTTTCTTCAAAGTTTCATGATCTTCTGTTCTCAGTTTTCCGTATATTCCCATATTAATCGAGAAAGTTTGGCTGACAAAATTCGCCCACTGGTCGCTGAATGTTTAGAAATGTGTACATCAAATACATCCACCAGGAACAATGATAATGCGGACAAGACTGAACTTTCTGATCTTCTCGTGATGTGCGCATAATCTTGTGTAAGTAGGCAAAAAACTGGGCACCTCTCGTGCACAGTTCACAATATCCTTTTGATATCCACTGTCATCGGAAGTTGTTACTTTAGAACCCTTCGTTTGAAACCCATGACCACCTTAGAGAAAATGTGTCTAACTAGTACCGGAATATGAAAGACTGAGTGCACATTGTTATCAACATTGTTCAGGTAAAGCTCGGATTTCACGGCTCGGTGCCCAGTCGGCTGGCTTTCACTAAACGCTTGAGGTAATTTCAATTGAGGCGTTGATTCACAGCCACGTCACATGACCCCTTGGGTAAGTGGACGTTGCTGGATCTCACAAAATCGGTTGAGTGTTGTTCACGTGTACATAATAATTCATTTCCCGTCCTAGAAGTTCAGCTGCAGTGTAACGGTAAAAACGCTATCAACAACCTAGTTAGTAGATAAAACTTTGTATGCTTACTATACTGGACTGCTATGTCACTTTTACGAAAAAGTTTCTAGAAGCCCCAAAGGTAGTAATAGGTTTATTTTCCATTAACTGAGCTATGTTCACTAGGACAATTAATTATTATGTTCCGCTTAAGAGTTTGACCTTGTAATTTCGTTGCGATGAGAATATTACTTCGTCTCACCAAATGTCTCAAAACCTCAGACGATAGCCGTTTGTTTCGGCGTCAGTTGGTGTTAAAATGGGAATGTAAAGAACTGTCTATGCATCCATACTTGGGTTAGATATCACTAGAAGTATAACGTACCTTCTGGTCAACAAAACTGAAAATCACTCGAAAAACAGCGTGAAATCGCAAACAACTATTGTTACTTACATTACGGCCCCGCGAGAAAATTCAGTTTATCTTGAAGATATGACTAGCTCCCACCTACACACACAGCTCAAAGCGCACAGCGGACAAATAGCGGAGACAGACCAGTGTCGTTCACTATATTGAGCGCAGACTGAAGTTGTCCAGTTTTAGAATCTCTCGCATACCGCTGTGTCGGTATGCGAAGTTTTATCACTAAGAGTGGGTTTGTGCAATCTGAAAGCCCATGTTGATGACCTTCCTTAGTGTGCACTACGATAACCTTGTTACTTATTTATCCAGATACACGCACACTCCACTTGTTCACGTGACGGCCAACAGTCCGCTTAAATACTCATCAACTTATTGCAACTGTCAAACGAAAATCAATGAAAAATTTCACAGAATAGCCTAATCGTAGCGGCCAAAGATTCAAACACGGTTCTCCGGAACACGACGGCAAATCATTGTGACGTTCACAATAAAATGTTTTTAGGTTTATAGAGCATTCAAAAGGCCAGATATCAGGCTCCAGTTTTCAGCTGAATTTGCTGCTTACTTTTATACTTGAGGTAGAACTGACTAAAATTACGTTAAATGACATCGAGTTAGTTGAATAGCCACTGAACGATTATCATTGCCATAGTTATTCTGAAAACTGAATGAGGCTGGGCTGAAACGGCTCCGTTTAGTGGGCGTCCACTGCAGATGGACCCATTATGATGAGCACCCCCGAACTTTGAATAGCTTCCTTGTTTAAGAAACTGGTGACTTTATCGTTCTTTTCGTGCCTGTAAATCGTATGAAGTAAAGTGTAAGTGAACACATGTGGCGACACGATTTGCACCCACCAAAATTTTCCTAAGCTACTGAATGGACGAAAAAGTGATTCAATATATGTTCATTTATGGATTGTGTATGCTGAACAGTAATGAATCCATAATTGGGCATGCTCCATTGCGCTTATTGGCAATTGATCAAGCCGGTGATCCGTCCCTGTGGCCTAGCATTTAAATTGCAACTTCTTGTCGCTACATGAGGAGACGTATACAGTGCAAAGACCAAAGAGTGTCCTTCCTAATTCTGCTTGCATCTACTCAACTCATAGATTGTCTGATTATCATAGCACGACTGCCTGTGATGACTTTGTTTCACTGTTATATGATTGGTCTGTTCGTGATCTGCGTTGCGTTATAGTCTGTCACTCCGGAGTTTGGTTCATTGAGGACCCCAGTCTAGTAGCTGTTTTTATCCAGACTGGGATGTTTGCCTTTGCTGCGTGCAACGTATCACCCTCTTTTGTTGTCGTGTGATTGATGAATTAGTAGCCATCTAATCATTCATATCTGGTGGCCTATTGGCCATCTTCAATGCTAACAAGTCATTAATTTGACGAAGTTTTTATCGATCGTATTAACATTGGGAAAGTAGATGACAGGAGGCTGATATTTCAGAGCAACCTGATCACTGGAATGCCAAACAAAGAACCACAAACCAAGCTTCACTGGAAAAGAACCCAAATTTTAAGCTGACAGCTTTCATACACAAACCTACATCCAGACACTTTTTCGGGCAGACTGAATATAATCTGCTTCACCATGAAATCCAGGGTCAGCAAAGAGGTAATAATGGACAGAATGTTTCACCTGACAAGCAATTGAAAAGCTCCCCGATAAACTTAAAGTGAGGCATCCACAACTCACGTCTATTCAGTTAAGGACATTCGACTTTCCAAAGCACGCCAGCCTCTGCAGTTCTTCGACAAATTCGAATCTGCTTCTTATATGAATTTGCGTGCCACACTAATGGGTTGTGTGAGACACATCTGAAAAACTATGAAACAACCTCAAGGAAACCGACGTATCATTACTTACCTGTTCCACTAGTTGCGCTTATGTATTCTGTATCATTCCCAGTTCTAGGTTTCCTCATTTTTCACCAACAAGTGTACCGAGTGGCTTGAGCGGAAACGCGACTAACGTTTGACAAAACGCAGGTTTCCTACTCCAAAAACGTCGTCAAAACGACATTGGTGATGGAAAGTTGGCAGTCGACTGCTGAGCTTGGCGAACAAATCAGCAACCAAGATCCTGAGTCTGGAAATGTTCTTCGTCAAGTGCTTCCGGTCAGTGATATAGAAAATAATAGGCTCAAATCCAACGGCGAGATAATCAATACTTTTCTAAAAGAGTTAAATCCCATTAGGTGTTGGTGTAATCAGATCCTGAGAACGTTATCCGTACACCCGTCTTCGTGTTAGCTGGGTCTCCTGTGGTTGACGTTTTTGGATTCCACATATGAACATTTAGTTAACAGTTTCAGGCCGAGCCTTCGGAACAAGCACCCGCTGACTAGTTAGAGTTTTGTTCTACTGAGGAACCTACGATTTTAATGCATATTCTCCTGTTACGTGTGTTAGATGACAGTTCGTAACCTTCGGAAAAATGTCATTATCTAAAACGCTGCGTCCTTTACTTCGTTTCAAACATCAAATTAGTTATCACGTTTACAAACGTATGCCTGTTGGTCACACGGTTAAAATCCATGGTTTCATCAACCAAAATCACGCACGACTAAAAGTAAATCGATTATATTAGTCTGGAGAGAAGGTGTGGCGATTGATTACTTTGAGCATGTATTAAATTAATAACGATTACTTCTGATAGCTGAACTTTATAAATTCACACATTGTGCAGCACTGCACTGTAACGAGGAGATGATTTAGCTCCCATCTGAGTTACGCCTACCATGTCCGGTTGCACACTGCTGGAATTTCAAGTCAACGCAGAAAAATCACTGTCAAAACATGTGCTTATTCTAGCCCTCATTGACAAAGATGCCGAAATATTGATCAAACGTATGTGTTCCGGATGAGTGGGTCGAATTTATCGACATTTCACATCAAGATTTGGTATGTCCTTATGTGGCGACTACGGTATAACGATCTATGAATTACTCGCTTGCAAGCGCAGCGGTTCCGCATCATGGTGTGAGTAGCACCTTTTGGAATACAAAACGTGGTACACAAATATCGTCCATGCAACTCCGAGGCACAGTCTGGTCGTTTAGAACCCTTTGCTGATGTTATGTTTTCCTCACCACAAATAAATGCTATCCTCTTTTCTACTCAGCATGGAGAAGTGCAAGTCTGTCCCAGTTTGAAATACAAAAGTTTAGTACAAATATCCAAGCTACTTAAATTAGAATGTTGGTATTCTTCATTCAGGATCAGTGTTCAAATACATTGTTGCACTTTATACTCACTCTACAAACTACCGGTGTAGCGGTCACACTACTGATGGGGGATATGCGAGTAGTACGTTATCTGGTAAATCCGCTTTGCGTCTCTTGAAAAGTGAGATCCATTACGGAATTTGCGGAGTCGCTTTGTAGCATTTGCTTGAATTTGAGCAACAGTCAATGAATATCCAGGAACGTTCAGGAAGACTCGTTCAAGTGAAGATGAATGTTCAGTTTTTGTAAACAACATGCATATGAGAGTTTTGCTTCCGTGTACAATAGTCTGTAACGGGTTGGTTGGCATTTTCTGATAAATAACTCCACAGTGAAGGCCTTCTTCCTTTTCACTGGTACATAATTCAATACAGTTACAAACATTTCGATCCCGCATGTGAAGTTGGGTGATTTCAGTTTGTAAAGTTCGTAAACATTTGCAACGTTAAAAGGACATGTTTTGAGCAATACCTGAAAAATCAGTGATATTGCGAATCTGATCATTATTTCGAACCTATTATTTTCTCCTTTAGATTTTTTCACCCCTCACTGGGTGACCACGTGTTGTGGTCTCCTTGACAAAAGGTGGGTGACGCAATGTGCTCCGTGTGTGCACGCCAGCTAATCAGTCACTCAGAGCAAGACGGCTGGGTGTTCAACGGTTAGCAGGAAGGTCGCGAACTTGAAGCTCTCTGAGTTCTACGTGGTGATGAGGTAATTGGACAGTGCTCCTCCAAGTTTCAGTATAGATTGACTGCACTTGAGGGACGAAATACCAATCGTAAATTGTAAAATCTCTAAAGACATTTTTTAATCGCTCGCTATTTGTTACATAAAACTGCCGAAAGCTAATCTGCATTCAGAAGTCTCACATAACTAAGGTCTTTGTTGGCCGCATTTAAGAGGCACCAGTTTACTAACAAAGCAAACTACAGCAACCAATTCCATTTGGTTCCTAATTTTCCGTATGCTGATGTTTCTATTGTTTAGGAGTAGTCGTATGTGACTGGTCACCTGATTGACGTGAAAATACTATTTGAAAATCTGCACAGAGGTTATGATCGAACAGGTCAAACAGATTCTTGCTTCACTTGCCATTCTAACGAGGAAGGAATCTCTCCATCGCAGAAAACACAAAAAAGATCAAACAATACGAAATACCGGAAAATGTGGAGATTTTTTCCCTTTTGCGTTGCTTGGATTCAAGTAGACCAGAAACTTCTATTAGCCTTGCAATATCAAGGATAACCACGATAAAATAAAAAGTCAGACTAGAAGCAGCAATCTATAAGCTTTAATGTTTTTTAGGGTGATCCCTCACTGATGATGCTAGAGTCAATAGCCATTTGGCCATGTGCGCCATCGCACTACCTGGAAACCTTCACGTAAAACTACCGCGCCAGGTCATAAAGAATAAACTCATTTGCACCCTGCCATGACCCTGTCATATAACTTTGGCAGTGTAGACAATGCATCAACGGACCTCAGGCTTATAAAACCAAAAGTTAGACAAATGGCACCCTTCGAATTTAGCCGTGTGAAATTTGGTGCTCTATATGGAAAGGGCCTGCTACTTACCCCATCAACGAATGAGTTCATGAGATACTCTAAAAGCAAGAGAAGTCTAGAGATTCAGGTGTGCTGATGTGCTTGTCTCAAAAAATGGAGTCGCGAAATTGTTGCCAGTGGCAAAAAACTATAGAAGTGCACCTTCAGGAATTTACTCATGGATAACTTCAAGAGCACAGTACGGTACGCGAAGAATGTCGTGTCAATGGTTGATGTACACCATCAAGATAAACAAGAAAAGGATATATCAGTTTTCTTATTAAATTTGGCAAAGCTGACAATATTTTCGCTAACACTAAAAGTATACGGTACGGAGGTATCGATGGCTTTTTGTTGTCGGAAGCATGCCAGCGACCTTTAAAGGGGTGTGTGGAATGATGCATATTACCGATGAAGTATGCACGAATTATGGGGTTTTCTCATAAGTCCGCTTCGCGTCTATTGAAAAGTGGAATTTATTACGGAATTTGTGGAATTGCTTTGTAGTATTCGTTTACGTTTGAGTGATTGTCAATGAGTATTCGGGAAAAAACAGGAGGACCTGTTCGAGAAGAAAACGGATACACAGTTTTTATAAACAAGATACATATGAGAATTCTGTTTCCCTGCTCAATAGACTGTAACTGTTCAGTTGGTGTGTTCCAGTAAATAAATCCGCAGCGAAGGTTTTCTTCCTTTCATTTGGTGACATGACCGGGATAAGGATGAAGACCTCGTGGCCACAACCCTTTGAGGGTGATGTTCGGAACTTCATGGGGGACTTTAAGGGAGTTGCGGAGGCTGCTGGCCTGGATACACATCGGGGTAGGTTGGTACGCTGAAGACCTACTTAGATGCCTGAATAAGGCGGCCGTGGATGCAGCCAGACTGGGCCGCCGCGAGGGAAGCACTTGCGGTGGAGTTCGACGCGTCAACCGACCGCCAGGAGGATTTTGAGTGGTACAAAACGACCAGGATGGCACCTTAATGTGACCCGACCGTGCTCTTCGACAGCTGCAGCAGTCGTTGGATCGGGCTTTGCCGGGACTGGACCGAGTGTTGCACCACCAGTTGCTGTCTGACCAGTTAATCGAAGGAGTGCAGCCGGCGCTTGGCGCTTAGTTGCGGTTGGCGAGAGTAACTGGCCAGGTGCTGTGTGCCTGCTGCTGGCCTGGTGCATCTGTCACGGGGATTGGCCGAGGCACGACGGAATCGCGGAGGTGCGCTCGCACCAGCCGGTGCTACAAGTGTGCCAGGGCTTGCCATCGGAAGAATCAATGCCCTCGTACCCCAACACCTGTACATAATGAAAATTTGGAGTACCTCTATTTCCGGATGGGTTGCGATTAGCGCAGTGACACAAGCTGCCAAGAGCACAGATTCTGTGGTTGATGTAAAGCAGGGAAAACTGGTGACACGTTATGGCGCAGTCAAGTTTGAAGGTTATCCAAGCACTGCCGTGAGTGAGCTGCGAGTCCAAAAGCTTCCGTCTTGTGACATACCGTCAGTACGGCCCGCGGTCTAGGAATACTCCAAACTGTTCACGGGCGATGAGGATCCGTTTAGCTGCTGCCCGTAGACTAACACGAAATCTTCCTGTCGTCAGAACGCATTAGACTTCACAGCCCCCGTCCCCTACTGCTCTACCTGCGGGAGGAGGTTCACAAACAGATTCAGTAGATGTTGAAAAACGGCATAATCTAAGAAGCCAATTGTGCGTACAATTCTTCAGTTGTGATCATAATAAAGGCAAACGTAGAACACAGTTTTTGCGCGAACTTCCGGCGCTTGAATGAACTGGCCGTAAATCGGGTTGTAGTTGTCCCTACGGTTGCGGAGGTTTTCGATTCCCTCCAGCATTCCCGATATTTCGCTTTGTTTGAATTGCGTTTCGGTACTGGCAACTATTTATCAAGGCGGAGGATCGGGAGAAAACGGCATTCACGGTTGAGGATACCCAATATCAATTTAGACGAATGCCGTTTGGTTTTTCGGGGCACCATTCACATTCCGGCGCTTGATGCTTCGTGTAACGAAGAGACTCCAGAATGTTGCCGTGTACGGAGACGATATCGTTGTGTGCAGCAATTCAGAACCAGAGCACGCAGTTCACTTGAAAGCTGTACTGAAGCGGATCCGGGAGGCTGGTCTGCGGATAAATGAAGCCAAGTCACAGCTCGCTCGGAGTTCGGCGACACTACTGGGGCATAAAGTGGGTCAGGGAGAAGTCAGCCCACTGCCCGAAAAATGGGAAAAGATCAAGGATTGTGCTGTTTCCAATTCAAAGCGGTCGCTACGGCAGTTTCTTGGACGAACAGCATACTACAGCAGGTTCGTTGAGGATTTCAACAAGATCGCTGCGCCACTGTACTATTTGCTCTGTCAAAATCTGGAATTCGAATGGACCGCAGAAGCACGTGAAGCTTTTGAGCGTGTCAAAGCGCGGATGTTGGATCAGCAACTAACCCTCAAACTGCCCAGGGTCGGAAATATGTTCATTGTTGCAAGGGACGCCAGTGATCGCGGTATCGGCGCAGTCCTGAAGCAGAGGAATGGAGTTATCAAATATGCCAGTCGCGTCGAAACCGATCACAGACCCCTGGGGTGGATCAGAACCACCAAAGATCCTCGCAGGAAGCTCGCACGCTGGGCGCTCCGGTTGCAAGAGTACGACTTCACAATCCAGCACGTGCCCGGGAAGGAGAACCACTTGGCTGATTGGCTGCCAAGGCCAGAGGCTGAAGATGAGGTCCCCAAAATCACGGTTGGAGCCAATGGCCTCGCCGTCGAACTGGATTCCGGAAAGTTGGTGCAACTCCAACGGCAGGATCCTGTGTTACAAAAGGTTGCAGCCGCCTTGTTGGATGGGAGGAACATTAAGAACGTGGAGGTAGACGAGGAATTAGAAGCGTTCCAGAGTCATTTTGATCGGCTGAGGCTGAATGAAGCTGGCACAATCTCCTGGAACGCCACCGATTCAGACGTTGTGCTGCCCGTGATACCTCACGTCTTGAGACGGAATCTCATCGTTGAATGCCATGAGATGGCACATACAGGGTGCACCAAGACATACGACCTACTTCGGCAGAGGGCGTACTGGCCCGGTATGAGAACTGAGGTGATGGATTATGTGGTGTCCCGAAACGGTGACAACTGATAAAGGGTGACACAACAGGGGCAACCTATCCCATGGAACCCATTCCTGCCTCAAAAATCGGCGTGTTATGGTCCGTCGGCGTCATGGGCCTATTTATGTTGACAACCATTGAAATCAGTAAATCGTGATGATGACAGAACATTTGCATCAGTGGGTCGAGGCGGCAGCCATGCCCAATCAACGGGCGACTACGACCAGTGGAGTGATAATGCACCACATCGTGGCCAACCATGGGGTGCCACAAATGATCCTAACCGATCAGGACTCTTGCTTCGAGATCAAAGAGTGTAGGAATACCTTGCAGAAGCTGGGTATCAGACGGCTAACTACGGCGCCATACCACCCTGAAACAAATGGCCTAACCGAACGTACTAACCGGACGATCAAGGGGTGGCTAGCGGCCACAGGAGATGACTGGGAAATGAACTTGCCAATGGTGTTGCAAGCTCATCGTGCTTCTATACATTCAACCACAGGCAAGGCCCCTTTTATGCTGATGTACGGTCCACATTCGCGCCTTCCAGTTTATCAGGAAATTGAGTTGTGGACGGTTACATGTATGTTTCCGGAGGGGCTAAATGAAGAAAGGAGGTAAGCTCGAGAAAACGTGACCGGCTTTCAGGAAAGGACTAGGCAAAAAACAGCAAATGGAAACGCTTGACCATTCCCCATAGGTGCGAATGTCAAGCGAAAGAATCATCAGGATTCTGAAAGGATTGGCCTAGGGCCGCGAAACCCGGGAAGTCGATGGTGAGGGCCATTTGTCGTTACCAACAATCGGGTGGACGTCTTTACAATTCAAGATGGTCGGGGACCGAATAGAGTGAATATGGTTCAGCTTCGAAAGTGGCATGATACAAACTGAGAGCGGCCGAATATACCGGCTCCTGGAGCCGATTTAATTTAGAAAAAGTAGAATCGGAAGCATGCCAGCGACCTTTAAAGGGGTGTGTGGAATGATGCATATTACCGATGAAGTATGCACGAATTATGGGGTTTTCTCATAAGTCCGCTTCGCGTCTATTGAAAAGTGGAATTTATTACGGAATTTGTGGAATTGCTTTGTAGTATTCGTTTACGTTTGAGTGATTGTCAATGAGTATTCGGGAAAAAACAGGAGGACCTGTTCGAGAAGAAAACGGATACACAGTTTTTATAAACAAGATACATATGAGAATTCTGTTTCCCTGCTCAATAGACTGTAACTGTTCAGTTGGTATGTTCCAGTAAATAAATCAGCAGAGAAGGTCTTCTTTCTTTCACTGGTTATCGATGGCTTCTAGTTGAATACTCTTCGACAACAAGCTGCTTCTATAATAACCATTACGTAGACCAAATCTTTGTAATTACGGCAAACAAACACGCAATCAAAACTTGCTCACCCATCCTGATTCGGCTGAGCTCGCGTTAGCTTTGAAGTCACTGTATCCGGGGACAGATATCTTTAGTCTTTACCCCCTGCAGTCAAAGTTATTCCTGCGTCCTTTGTTTTCTGTCGATGGAAGTGTGATTTCGCACCGTTGATGGGAAATAACAGAAAATCCCTGCAGTCGCTCTCGTTATCTTCGCTGCTGAGTATTCCGGCGACGCTGACATTTGAAAATTTCAAGGAGGACACAAAATTATGGGACAGTTGGATGAAACTTACGAAGTGCCTTCGCGTCCGGTGTCACTCAACTATTTGTGATTTCCACAGGGAGGTGCATTTCACTATCCACTTCTGATGGGTGCTTCATCTTCCCGGTGAGCTCTGCGTAACTCGACCGTTGTTGGGCATACAGGCACGTCAGATGGTACCCTACGGAAGCAGGAAATTCCCCCTCTCAAATACATCCGTTTTCAAAGCTAAGTATCAAGTTCTGAACACTATTCATTTTTATATCGTCTTGTTTTCTATCTACAATAGCACTGCATCTTCCCAAGCAATTGAAGATGGTGCTGGTTTGGCACCGTCCAAGACCGCTTAAGCGTGGATGTTCAACACAAGTTGGCTCGGGCCTTTACTAAGAAAACTTGTGCCAGACCCATCAGCTCAATTTTTACGCCCGTCAATAGATCAGACTGCTTTGTTTCTTTGCCTGTTCTTACCTATTACCGCCTGAACCACTACTGTTCTACCAGTCTTTCTGAATGTGGATGGAAAAAGTGTATTGGAATAAGTCCACTAAAGTTTTTGTGTTAAACCTTCTCGTTCCCACAACAGGTATTCCGCTCCTAATTAATACTGCATCCGCAAGCGAAAGCAGTGCAACTGAAAAATGAAATGCCTTCAGCTTGTGTTCAGCTTGTAAGTGTTCGTTGACATGGAAGCCCTTAGTACAACGAATGGCGTTCATTCCAGCCTGGCGGGGAGCGTATCCTGCCCTGACCGGAAACAAGGCACGCATTCGTGCAATTCAGTTGAGGATGTGAGGGTAGCTGGAACCAACAATTCCTTACTGGCCTGCAACAATGTCGTGCCATCGGATACTGACTACGGTATTTTGAATGACAAGATCAAAGCTAAATTGGGAGCTCTCGGAGCTCGTTGGTCAACAACTGAGGCGTCCGACTCGCGACATGCTGCTAAGAAAAGTCGGATACACGGAAAAAATGGAGGGTAGGAGAGGAGCGAGTGCACTGAATAGGAACAATACGAAGCTGTAAAACCTACGGCGCGCAAAGGCGCTTTAAAACGTATGTGACCTCATGAACCCGAAGATTTGCCGTGCCTGATAAGGGACCTAAACTTTGCGTTCTATTATGGGGTCAGACCGGAGGGCTTTGTGGAATCAAAACCAATTGAGTCATGGATCGCGGGAAGGGAAATCGACGGTGGGTGGCTAATATCGGCTGATGTGACGCACCGCTAAAAGCTCCCCACCTCGGCAACCTTCTCATACCGACATGGTGCGGATGCTTATGAGTGACATTTCGATTGTGAGAATTAAAACCTTGAATACTAGACTGGGAAGAGGGGACATGACCTATGGGCGGGGAAGTGTGTTCCAGCGTTAGCGCGGACAGGTAGAATATTATAAGTGAGCGACACGGGAATATGTGGAAGAGTTATGGCAATGTACGGGTTTAAGAAACAATGACACGCAAGTTCGCTGGTGCATAAATTTGAGATTCGGGGCAGAAAAACGCTATATACATGTGATGGGTATGGCCAATTGGCAGGTAATCTCGGGTAAGAGCCACACTTGAAGTTAGCGCGGGCAGGTAGAATATTATAAGTGAGCGACACGGGAATATGTGGAAGAGTTATGGCAATGTACGGGTTTAAGAAACAATGACACGCAAGTTCGCTGGTGCATAAATTTGAGATTCGGGGCAGAAAAACGCTATATACATGTGATGGGTATGGCCAATTGGCAGGTAATCTCGGGTAAGAGCCACACTTGAAGGCAGCGAGCAATCTGGTAAATGGGTGGGAAAATATTTCGCTTACTAGCCTACGTGAAGTTAGAAGTCGAAAAGCTACAGCAGTCACAGGCATAGGTGAGCTGGTGTTCACTTGTATTGTAGGAGGGAGCCCACCTCCCCACAAAAGCTTATTAGGGTTGAGTTGCGGACGCACCTTTTTTCGGACCATTGTTCTCAGGCCCACAAACAGAGGGGCGCAATTTGTCGTAAATGTGCTGGTCTAGTTAGCCGAAGCACAGTCTGAAATAGTCTGGGGCTGGATATGCGCGGCAATAAGTTCCAAGAGCCTCAGAGCCTACATAGCCATTGGGATTTTGGGTTTGCATTTGGAAATCCAAGAAATCGCGTAGCTGGTAACTGCACGGTGGCAAATAAGCGGGTTGCTGGAGCCAAGTGAATCCGGTTCCAAAAATGATGCGGGGTTTGATACATGGGGTTTGGTTGTCAATTGGACGATAACCTGGAGTTGGGTTTCTGGAAAAAACGTAGTTCAGCGGATGTTTAAACGTCATTTTAAACAAAAATTCGCAGTCCCATTATGCAAGATCATGCTTATTGCTAGGGAAAAAACTGACGTTACCCGAAGAAAAGTGTACAGATCCTCCCAGAAGAACACAGCCTTGACTTACATTCAGAAAAAATGGTTTGCAGGGATTATCGAACAGGAAATAATTGTTATCCATCTTGATTCCTCTTGAGTGAGCATAAATCCCATGATGATGTCCTCAACCAATTGGGGTAACGCGGACTTTGCGATGTTGTTTTGGCAGAGTTATCTGATATTTGCACTGCTTGCAAAACCGAGTGGCAACCTTAATACTAGCGGATAGATTTCAGGGGGCAAATCTTTTCAGCTGCACAGGATTCAGGATCAGAGACAGTAAATAGTTTTCCCTGACGAATCTATGCACGTCAGAGGCACGATGTTTTGGAGTCCGTTAACGGCCAACGCATGATGGCACATACAAATCAAACCTCTGCATTCCACCAAGTGGATGCATTTAAGGTGAAAATAGGAGTGATAGGCCAAACTAAGTTGCGGATAACTTATTGCCATAATTTATTGAGGCCAACCAAATAATTGGGCCGAAACGCACGACGATTTCGATGCCTTCCGCATGCTCACTTGGCTGATGGATGATGTGATCACTGGTCCTAACGTTCGCTGTTTAATTGAAGTGCGTAACTCAAGGCCACTTAGCAGCAAAATGAAATTGTAAGGTGTTTTCCCGCACATGAGTGATTCGTTATCTACCGGGCAACTATCGTCATGCGCTATCAACTGAATATGCTTTTGCGCATTGCATTTTATTTAGTCTCACTAATTTCTACGAACTTCGGTAAGTATTTTCCCAACAACATACAATAACAGCGTTCGATACTAACTGACTTGAGTACAATAATAATTGAGACATTTGCTTGGGGGGGATATTTTGTGTCCCAACTCCGTGTCCACGAAGAGAGCATATGCGATTATTATTACTGACCGAGGTTTGATAGTGCGGCACGGAAGCGTACTGTTTAGCTTATCTAGGTTCCACGATCATAGTGCCGTGAAAGCTGCACAGTTGAGTGAGGCCGCCCTATGGTAACGGTCAGCGGTGGATGCATTTTGCTATATGTGGCTAACCATCGGTCTGAGTTTTGTAGAACAACTATATTTGTTCACGAGCACTGTAAAATGCATTTGGACTAACCAGAATATTCCGCTTATACCGTGGTATTTTTCGTCTCCAATGTTCATCTTGATTCTATATGTAAGAATCGTCAGTTTATTTAAGCGCGGTTGCCACCAAATATGTGAAAATGACAATGAATCATGATGATACTGATTATTGTTTGGTAAGCCCCACATCTGTTTTAGGCAAACTTCTACATAGAATTTTTACGGATCAGTACTGGATCATAAACAGTAACACAGTTTTCCTACGTGGGTTTAAATACTTTCGCTCCTTGCAGTTTGGAAGAATTAGGCATGCCCACTTTAGGTGAAATTTTCTGCAAGCTATGTAAGGCTATTTGTCTGGACCGCACATAGAGTAGCTGACAAAATGCCTAATGAGCTTGCTTTTATCAAGCAATTAAACTTTTACCTGGGCACAGCTGGAAATCTGTTCCGCTATTCCGTTGTCACAAGCAAGGTACCACTTGGAACTGTACTGATTATCCTACTGTTTGCTATGTGCGTCAACAAATTATCCCAGTTGCACCGGTTCAACTGCTCTTTTTTCTGTGCTGGATACTGTCCTGCCAGATAGCCACGACAAGTGTCATCAGTCGTCCGTCTCCGTGAAAAATTTCATATTACTTTGAGGCAGTGTCTCAAAATAGGATGATTAATACGCTTGACGTTTAAACATTCAGTGCGTGCTTAACGAGAGGTATCACAAGCTTCGGCTCTCTGGGTCTTAAGACACTCTTGTAAACATTAGTCTGCACCATGACCTTCGTCACATTTACTAGACCAGTCATTATTTGTGGCCTGGTGCCTGAATCCTGCAATTTGTATGGATCGTTTTTATTCAAAATATTCCAAAAACCCGTGCGAAGCGTCGAATAGGTTAATTGAAGGTCCTAGCTATGATGACCAATGCTTGAACTTCGGCTTCTAGGGATGTGCCAATAAGGCTCTGTCAACCGATCTCCCCCTTAACATTCATGGTATTATTTTTTATCCACATTTCCCTTTTAACCACGCTTTGCAAACCAACTGAGTTGAAAGGAACCACATAGGTCCAGGGCACATCAGAAATATTTGGCTATCCAGATTTCTAACAAGGCATTTAATTGAGAAAACCTCAGCGTCTGATGAAGCATCGTCAAACATGTGGATGTCAGCTTACATAACATACATTATCACTCCTATTCCTGAGTAACCCACAAAGGTGAACCGACAAAGGCCGTACTTCGCTGGTCTTGGGACACCTGAACACGAACTCGCAACCAAATCTCACTCCATGAGGCATTTCTATTTGGATGACCTGAAATGTGGGCTGAGTTAACTTTTGATAAGGCAGTTAACCGCAAGCGGTTTTGGACGCGTTGTGAACGAGCCTTACTCAAACAAACGGTGAAAACTTGGTTTAAAATGTATGTTCTAATAAGCGGTACACCAGACTTCATTTTCAAATACAAGCATATTTATACGTATAAATGAGCGTATGTGCATACGTATGGACAGCATAACTGCAACCATTCAACTGATCCAAATCTTGGTCGTGATTCAAACAGTAATTGCTTGTATTTTCACGAGGGTGTACATCTTTAGAGCATAAGCATCTTGAATTCTCCCTTAAAAAGCAAAAACTGTTTAAACTAATTTTGAATATGAAGTTGAATGTTGGATCAAGGCTAAGGTTTTGCAAGCCAAATGTCCGATCATATGTTTGCTAAGGTGCTCCTACGGTTTGATGGAATAAAATACTCTTAATTCTGCTCGGTCATTTTGACAATTCGCGACCATTTGGGCTCTTCTCTGGGAGCTTTTTTGCACCTGAATCCCATCCTTAAAGTTACGGGCAAAGTAAATGCAGCTGAAAAAAATTCTGTTAAGGATGGACTCAATTGAACCTCAAATGGCTATCTTGTCAGTAGCATTTCTTAAATAAATATGCTTCAAACTAAATAAATAATATAATCTTTGTGAAAGGCAGTCTAGAACCAACGTTGTGTGGACGTTTATGGAATGAAAATGTCTAATTTCCCCTGTATGCAACGTATAATATGCTTCACCCTTCGTAACCAAGCAAAACCAATAATATGCGTCATTTAGTTGGTTGAGGCTCACAAACCTAGTTTGTTCAACGACAGCAGCTTACAGGAAACTTAATCCTAGCAAAACTTAGAGGGTAATTAATGCGGCAGTATTTACTTTACGTATTGTCTATCTGACATTTTAGTTCGGAAAACAAGGACAGAAGCTGTTTGGTTTTTAGAAGTGGGAAACATAAATATGTGACAGTGGTATGACATTAGTGCCATGAATCGAGTTTGACGCGATATAGATAAGGAGGTAAAGTTGGCCCCGTAAACTGGTATCATTATTATATTATATCCTCACACATCATACAACGTTCATTGCATATCAATATATTATATGTACCATAGGTACTTACCTATAGTACGTACGTATTCAGAGGAATTACCACTGCGTGGCACCCACCTTCCTAGGATTAGAGAATTATTTCGTGTAATGTGATTTCTGTGCTACCTGGTTGAGGGTTAGGCCATTTTTTACACCGAACGGTTAAACAATTTAATGTTCAAGTGTCTCAAGAACTGAGAAGCACTTCAAATCCGTCGGACTCTCGTCTCAGTTGCGTAGGGCTGCCGCAACACAATAAAATGCGTTGTCTGTAACTTATTCACAAATGACATTCCTTACAGTGTAGAAAACAGCGTCAGCTTCAATATGGCAATAAAGATTGCAGATGGGTCTGTAAATGCTATCGAAAAAACAGGAGAAAGGACAAAGAAGACAAATGAAATCACAAATGCATCAAGGGCAGTAGACGTGTTGCCTCATATACAGTTGATTACAGAAAAATGGCGTTTGCAGTGGCAACAAAATATCAATCATGTTGTAGGTTCACCATTCATACGAATTTTTATCGCAAGTTCAATAAATTGAGCTTTTTGTCACGCCGAATACGATGCGTACAAGAAGAGCAGCATTATGTTAGTGGATTCTTGAGCATAAACCTTTTTACTTTTCTTTCCTGGAGGAGCGATGCATTACGTTAAGGTAAGTTCTTCTAAGCAGCCCATTTAGCCAATCTAATTCTTGAAAGAGTTCGGGTAATCTGGACACTTCGACAAATAGTGGTCTTTCGGTCGTGATACAGCACCAGGATTTCAAACTTTTGATCGTTCAGAAAGTACAACATCCATACTGAAATACAAAATTCGGCCGTAATTTTTGTCGTGCAAACTTGGCTGAACGAATATTTTAAAGCCACAAGACCAAGCCTTGCTTGAGAGAAACCTTGGCAAAACTTCTCATTGGAGTTTATAGTCTGCAGTTATTAGCACTATATCCTTGATAGTCAAAACAAAGCATACTTATCAAAAATTGGTTTACAAGTTTCTTGAGAGATGCGTGAACCAAGTTCAGGTTTTAAGGTAAACTCCTTATTTTCCGCTCACTGCTGGCTAACGAGTCCCCTATCTTATCCACGCTTGGTCAGGAAATAGTGCTTTAGGCCTTCGTCCACATAGTTCAATCCACAAAGTTTGGCCTTAAACGAACTTGTGTTTGAGTCACCGGGTGAAACAAACGGAGCAAAAAACAGCACTTTTTAGTCGCTCATATAGTTTAAAATCCCAACGAAAAACTTATTATTCGGTAGAGCTGGTTCGGGCAAACCTCGGGGAAGTTCACATCCAAAAGATTCCGATTGAAAGCTGAAGATCACACACTTCAATCATATCAGCTTATCAGATCTTCTTTTTAAATAGCCTTCGTTCTATGCCTAGACGTTCGTTTCTGTGTCTATTGTTCTGAAAGTTTTCCTTTCTTCAAGAGACCTCATAATAGAAAATCTCAGTGAAAATCCCTCCCGTCTTTTGCTTTGAAACCAAAATTGTCCTTCAAGCTTAATAAAACATCCCACTGTTTTGAATCGTGGAAGAAGATTGTTGCTGTTAGTCAAGACTGACGGGAATAAACTTGGTGACATCTGCGAAGTCCAAATTTTATTGAAGAGTGACCGATTTTTCCTTTGTAATATAGTCAAAGATATTGGTTGAATATGCCTCTCATCCAGTTGCTCAAGTAAATAAATAAATAAATATATATATGTATAAAACAACCAAGAGTGTATTTTTAATCTAGAAACACTTTTGCACTGTAGATTAGAGAACTACCTGGTCGTCTAATGTAGTATACCTGTTCACCAACGAACTGTCACAATTTATTCGAGCTAGATGATTTTTTTCAAACAAGTTAACTTTCAACATTACAGCTTTCCGTCAAATTCACCGGTGTTTTTGACCCCGATTGCTGGCTTTTTTGTGGTTCCAACCAGTTGGCACTGTCATCATTTTCTAAGTGCTGCTTAAATTATGGTGTAAATGAGGAAGGAAGCGCAAATTGCCAGCACTACGTTAAGTGATGTGGATTAGTTTGATTCGCCTAGCATTTCTGACGAGTATGCAACGATGAAGAGTCTCTAAACACACTCAAAATGTTGTCCTTTAATGTCTTTGTTCGACAGAAGCATCTGGATACTAGCTTTAGAACAGAATACCCACAATTTTTCGCGCAATTTTTAGCAGATCCTGTGCTGGTGCCACTGGGTAAGGCCTTTTTTGTATGCCGTGGGAGACGCGATTCAAAGTTACACACCCGCCAGACTGACGAAAATCGAAATACCACACCCAACAGACGGCTAAGTTTGTCCCAATTTTATCTAAACACGCCCCCTTCCTTTGTTGCGACGGTCCACATTTAAAAAATTTTTGTAGCAAGATGAAAAGGCTTTGATATCCAGATATGGCAAACTTTCTTAGGCATTTTTGACTTATTATTGAATCTGCAAACGTACATTTCGTTCATTTCAACCTCGAGACTGGATGTTTCTGGTACATCTTAGTCCATTTCCTTACGGACTTTTATATTATCTCTGGGTAAATTTCAGGCGTAATAAATAATCTTCAGCCTTCCTGATTAAGTTTCATCCTTCATTTTAGATGTTTATTCGCTGGATTTATCACACAATATTTTTGGTCTAATGTGCCCCATTCTGATATAGTTTAGTCTAGTAGAAATAATCTGCTTTCTTTTCCGTTCTAAATAATTTGAACTAACTGGGATGTGTACTTCAAAGCCTAAAGTTTATCCTGTATTTTGTTTGCATTTTATTATAAGTTCCTCCACTATATCAACCAGTATTAGGTTATCTCGACTCATCTACCTCATAGCAACTTATTTGGCTTTGAAATATGCTCAAAACATGAACTGATAATGCAGCTTAATAACTGCATTTTGTAGCTTCATTAGAGAGTAGTTCGTTTGATGGCAACGTAAACTAGCATGTTGTGGTGAACCTTTGCATATCAGTGAACGCAATCTGTTGCATTTTTACATCTACTCTGGTTCCACCTACATGACCGACATCTGTTTGTATATTGCCTCCCTAACTTTGTTGTTGGTTTCCGTTGATTAGTTGTTCACGACCTTGAGGCTGCAGAAGGTTCACACTATTTGCCACAGTGCCTGCCACAATTCTCACCGTTCGTCGGGCTTTCGGACTATTCGTTCAAAATACCTGATACTATTTCGCTGGGATGCAATTTTTTCACTCCGTTCACATGCGGAATTGACCAAGGGGACGTAAGCTGGTACAAAATTGAAGATATGGATATTTCACCGTACGTTCAAATCGCGGTAGTGGAAATCTTTAGGCCAGTCCTTAAATTTTCATGATTGCTTTTATGTTTTGGATGTATCTAAAATATAAAAAATTTGGTTTTCTTTTAGATCCAGTTCTCCAAGAACGATCGGGCCTCTGATAAGTACATTCATAGTATACACTGCACTCAAACTGGTAGAATGTTGACAGTTCTGAAGGCTTATAAGAAATGTATAATCGGGCGTTTTAGTGGACGTGGCTTATCAGAAGTTCATCGAATGCATATCACTAAAAATATGAAGACGATTTGTAATGACTTTATGGATAAAATAAATATACTGAAGGGTAGGTACACCTGCACAGTGAATGATGATTTTCATTTCAGTCTACAGTTAAATGCTTTTGTCTCCAATTTATGGTAATAATAATTTATGGTAATCTACAACCTTTTGATCTTTTTCAGGATAAACAAGACTGTGGGTCAAATTCTTCAAGTTACCGTAGTCAAAAAATCACAGTTAAAGGTACAGTATCAGTGTGTGATTAAAAACTCCGTTGGCGCAATCTCACGAATATTCTCCATGAGAAAATCAGGTGAGTATAACTGGCATAAATGCAGTGAACTTACAATTTGTATTTGTTCACCAGATTTTTGCCTCATGCCATCAAAGTTTTTGCACCCTCCTGTAATTTTTAGCTTTGCTTTGCGGAGCAGTAAAACGTTATGGCCCTTAAAATAATAATAATAATAGTCATTCAGGTGTAACATGTATTTGGTGCCTAGCTGCGATGTCAGCCGGAAGAAACACAAGACCGACTTTCTGCCAGTTTGCCCAAGCCTACACAGAAAAAGTCGGAATTTTAGGGTTGGGATCAAACCACGAAAATTTTGTTCACTAATTTTGCTTCTTAACCTATCAATGGAGTCGTTAGTTTTGTTTTCTTCGAGCTTGAGGAAAAAGTACAACACATCTGTCTCCTTCCGTCGCCGCGGCTAGTTATGGTTGAAAACTTTCACTGTGACTAAATGTTTCGTGTTAGGCTTCCAGAACTCTAAGTAGCTGAGATATGTTTTTATAGTAAAGTATTTCCGCAGTTTATTTGCGTTCATTTCCGCTTGCTTGGTTTTGTTTTTAACGAAAATCTTTCTACCTGCTCGAAAATCACCCACCAAAGGCTTGAAATAAAATCCATTCGCGTAGCCAAATATCACCTGATACCAGCCGTCCAATGTGCGGAACCACCATTGAGCTAGCAGTTCGACATTACAACGCAGTGTTTTATAGACTGAACTAGCCTGGGCTTTCTCCCTTTTTGATAAGTTGACCAGTCTTGTATATCATTATTTCCAAGGAGTTTATCAAGCATAACCATACTAGTTTACCACACACACAAAGTAGAGGAAACACACATTATACACGGGTAATATCATTCTTGCAAAGAGGTCTTCTGCATCCTCTTTGATTGACGGTGCTGGTTACAAAGAGGTGGTCTTCGCACCCGAATTGAGATTGTTTGAAATGTTGCCGCTGCATTTAGTTGGACGTTTACGAATTGACATAGTGATACATTACGGATCATCTAGACAATTTTTTACAGAATACTTCGACGATTCACGTGGACAAAGTAAATTTGCGTGATGCTAATGAGATGGTCTGACACATTAGTCCTTTTCAATAGGCACCATGATGTAATTACTGTAGTTGCGAGGAGCTTCCAAATGGAGGCAAGAATTAATATGGGTGAGTCATACACAAACACATTATCTTCCAGGTTCGCTTTGGCCTTCTGTATCTTCTTAAACGTGTTCTCAGTTTACCTATCTTAGGTGCGTTCTTGAGATCAGTGACCGGCCAAAACGCACCTGTTTCAGAGGCTATGAAGTATTTGTAGGCGATTGGAAACTAAATTGGCTTGATTTTAGTTACACGGTTAAATTACTTTGCATTAACTACTTTGTACATTTCTTCTCCCTACGGACTTTTCTGTAGCTAACAAATAGAGAAACACAAACAAACTTTGGAGTCATGTGTAGGACAAAAGCACCTGCAAGTACGGTAGCCTCTAAATATGTTCACAGTGCTTCTTTTCTATAGGTTCATTCTAAAGAAATAGGTGTGGCAACTACTTAAAAATTAGACCAACTTTTAGCAGAACACGCAGTTACGACTCAAACGTCTGTTCAGCAAAGCGTCATTTTAGAGAGTCTCTCGTACAAATTGAGCAATAGAAGATAAGAAAGGTCCTTTTGTTTTGAAGATTGTAACAATCGCTTACATAAATTTGTATGTTTATGCTTAAAAAAAAGTTATTATGGAGAAGCAAACGATACACACTGTCTGATTTGAGTAACGACCGATATGCAATGCTAAAATAAGCATTTGTTTGGCCTTTCATCCCTTCGTGCACCTAATGCGTCTGTTGTTCCAGACAATATTTTGTTTATAGACATTGTATTTCAAGACGTCCTCAGTTGTACTACTCATTTTCACGCTAAGCACTATTTTTTACCGTCGGTCAGGCTGAAATAAGGTAATTTCATTTTCATTAGATGGATAGTGGTTTGAGAGCACTATTTTTCACTGCTATTTCCAATAGGTAAACTCCTGTAGGGTGAGTTACGACTCCTATTTTCTATGGGTTGCTTTAATATCTGGGCCGTAATCCTTGAATACTATTTTAGAAATCAGGAAGTTTTTTCTTCTGAAGGCTTTGTTTTCTCTTCCGTGCAGCCGTTTTTGTGTGCCAATCTTGACGTTCCTTATTCAGAAATCGCGTGTTACATCTACTGACCCTCTGAGGAGCCTTCATGCACGGCCAGTCAGATTGGTCACTTTAGTGCTTTTCAGGGTGTCGTAACCTCGGTCTAACCTCGGTCGTCTTCGAATAATAAAATATAATAATATAATATCTACTTTTAACCCTGTATATTTTACAAGAGTGATACCTTAAATAGACTATTTACATGTAAGATGAGGAAAACAGTTTTTTGATACTGCTGCTAAGAAAGAGCGTACCTATGACATGGAGGGCGGTACAATGCAGAACATTCAACTGGTGAGAATGTTGGCCACAGAGAGGTACGGCAGAGAGATTTCTGTGCAGTCGGTAGTAAAGACAGCAAATGGTGCCAATAACGTCGGAAAATGTTCGGATTTCTTTTTTTATTTAAATCCATCTTCAGAAAGATCAGCTTAATCAGTGGAGCATTTCTAGCTACGATATATCACTACAGTGAATTCTGCACCGAATCAATACCATAACTAACATACCAGCAACTTTGCGTGTTTTTTGTAGATGTCTATTACAACAATAAACCAAGCATCTATATGCATTTTTGGGCCAGATATTTAAAGTATGCTGTTTTGACCCCATTTGATATCCGTTTTGAAATACAGGGCCTTTTCGAGGGAAGTTGGAGTTTCAGGATCTCAGAGAAGTGGAGCAAGGTAAGTCCTTACTGTTCATTTAAATGAGCATCATATGTGAAGATAAACTTCTCTGGCTGCCTACACTGGATTCGCAAGCAGAATCACAAACAAAATATTTTCATTATGGAGAAACCGTCAACCTGAAGTTCTCATTCTACGTTAAAAGCATGTGGCTGCGACCCCACAGCAAGTGGTTCTTCTCTGTTCTAAATCCCGGACAAATGGTCAGTGAAGCTAACCGAATCGAGCTGTTTCCCTATATCCCGAACACAAAACTTTCCTCCAGGGTGAGCAAGAAGTTTATTTGTGAAAATTTACCGCTGTTGCCGTGATTACATATATATATATATATATATATATATATATCCGCCTTTCAAAATTTATTTGGAAAAGATAAGTCTTCATACCTCATTTCAGAACTTCTTAATGTTATTTACAGTACAACATGACCCTCAATAGAATCCCTTGTGGAATTTGGCCCACAGACGGTATCTGCTACGAGGCGTCGCTTGTAATATTCGATTTGATGCACGCAGATACGGGGGTCTATACTTGTTGGGTTGGCCCAGAAAGTTCAAGGGAGCTAAACGGTCAGGTGAACGGCACAAAGCTAGCCATTCAACGGAACATACAGCTTTTCGCGCTACCTGACCCCTTGGAATTGCTCACCCAGAATGAGAACCTGCAGAGGTAAGTACTGACAAAATTTGAAGGCAACAATCTACTCACAGGGTGAATTTTATTGCCCAACTGCACTTAAGAGGGTACTTTTTTGAATATTTTTATGAGCCCATCTTGGGAGATAGAATTACCAAGTCCCTTCTCAAAACTTTGTAGAACGTGAGTCAAGGTCAGCTCCCAAGCTCTAAACGAAGAAAAAGAAAAAAGCTAACAACCCTTGCGTTCAATGGGGTACATGGCGTTAAAAGACCGTTTGTTTGTCTTTTTTCCCATGGGAAGCGCACCTCTCGGGTAGACGTTTTCGTTTGCTTACTACCTTTTGTTTCTCCCAATTTAAAATGTACGATTACCATCTCTCGACGAACGAGCTGACTTCATCTGTAAATTCAGTGAGGAGGCGTTTCATCTTATTTGTTTTCCTGAAGCAATGAGAGATTTTATTCCCATCACACTTTTCAAAGAATTGCCTGGCCATTATCAGGTTTGTACTACTGTTATGAAACTGTACCGTGGATCGGGGGAATAATCTCCTAACCAAAACTGAGGTACAAAGAATAAAGAGGGTGGGTATGGCTTTTAAGCAAACAACTTCTGTCTGGAATTGTCACTTCTAAATCGGCCAGTTATGGGTAGACCCCTTAAAACCTAACTCACAAAAGTTGCCTGAAAAGTGCTGGTTTCCAAGCCGCCCGTTGGCGTCTTTAAGTTTTGTGTCGCCTTGAAGGTGATAATATTGTGTAACGGTGTATCGTGAAGTGGCTCAACATAAATGAAAATCTTTGATCCGCACTGCTTTGTTACTTGTTAACTGACCAAGAGCAGAGACAATATCAGATATACAAGAAGTTGCATTGTTTTGTCGGGTTGCGTTCGACCTGCGAGAGACCCTGACTCAATTCAAAAGTAACAGTCATGTAGGACTTACTTACGCAGGACAGAGATGGACAAACCGTCGAGTACACGCTATAGACTAAATGCCATGCAGAAGATCACGTAGATTCCCTCCAAGCCATTGTACTCAGGTAAAGAAGGTGTTAAATCATCAAGCATCAAGGCTATTTACTGCAGAGTATGGATGATTTTCCACTTATCAGGTATTGCGAACTTCATTGCACACTTTTATTCAACATCCGAGCCGCTGTTTCTTCACTCTGAAAAGTTGTTTCAGTTATGTAGTTATGTCAAATAATCAACAGGCTTGACTACATAGGTCATCCTTGGTATCACTCACTGGATTACAATTTTAGGTACTAATACAGCAGTGATATTTTTTCAGGTCATTTGGAACGGTCGACCTTACTGACAGACAACGGGTGCTAGATGACTTGAGCTCCTTCCATGACGAACGACCCAAAGAGAAAAGTGAAGTGATCATGGCTCATCTCTCCCCTATTCGACCTGACATGATTCTACTGGATGAACACAATTTACGCGACTCTTCCCACAACCTACTGTTCAACAAGAACGCTACGGTGTGCATGGGCACCAATTTTACTCTGCATTGTTCTTTAAAACCGACGGTTTTGAATGGTAGTGTACATCTCTTGTGCGTACAAGAGAGTGAGGATTTCCCTTCAGCAACAAGTGAACACATCGAGAAACTAACTATCAAAAGGATCATAAACGTGAGTACGCGCCCAATCACATTTTGAATATCGGCGTGTTAAAACGCATATATAAAAACTGAGCGAAGACAGTGCATACATCTATCCACTACCTTGACCGGAGTGGAGATCTTACAACAGGATAGCATGGCAGTCTCAATTAGCATAAGATATTGGTCCAGTGCACATCTCCGTGATGATTTGGTGGAGCTACGTTTTTGTCTATCCTTTTGTTTTCCTACCCTTCACTTGGCTACACAACTCAGCTGGTGCATTTTTCGCTGTTGTTGCTCCTCCACATTGAATCCTTGGGTCACCTCAGTGTGTCCTCACCTCAGCGAATTTTATGTAATATCATCAGCAGGAATTGGACTGATAGGTACTATTAAGGAATGAAGATGAATCTGTGCTAGAAATGGATAATGTGAAATATATTCTGTGGTTATGTTTTGCTACCCCTGTCTTATATTGGCTTCTGATAGAGTTTGCATGCAAGCGCAACCGAGTGAATTGTTTGCTTATACTGCAGAGCAGCTAGGTGGTAGTGTAGAAAACCGGTCATCAGCATCATCGACAGTATGACATTAGTGTTCAACATCGATGCTTCACTGCTATACATCCATGGTTTATTTGAAAGCCTCATTGTAGAGAAACTAGTGAAGATGGACGAGGAAGGGACTTAGTGCTAGCTAACCACAACCATTCCGAGGTGCCTACACCTCCAGACATTCACTCAGGTAATCTGGATAGAAACTGACAGTAAGAGCGCGACATCGGTTTATCCGCCATATCTTGTAGTGTCTCCAACTACGCACAGTGAGGATCACGCAGTCCCCATCCTGGAATGTGACTAGCACCGACAGCACCCAAGCGCTTCGTGATCTCCTTCATACTCCTCTGCCAAGTCAAGGGTTGGCCACCTCTCCGTTTACGCCACTCTGAATTGGGTATGGAACACAGCACTCTCTTCGGCAAACGATGGTTCGGCATACGCAGCACATGTAGAATGATAACCAGATGTAATACGCTGGTTATTAATCTACGAACTGATCTATTGATTCCAGCGAGACCTAAGCCGATTCGTTTATTTACTCCTTTTTTAGAGAGAAAGTAATTTCTTAAAGCGCTCTTTAACGTCTATCTTCTGACTGAGAATGGTAATTCTTTTTTCAACAGGAATCTTTGCGCCCCTCCATAGACCACACCTTCTTTGAAGTTAATGAAGAACACGCTGGCTGGTATGTGTGTATGGGCAAAGTTTACGACCAACCAGAAACTTTGTGGCAAACTATGTACCTTAAAACTCGGCGATGCCTAAACACATCCGGTATGTCTATTTTTGTGTGAAAATAGTAACTGGTATTTTTAATAAGCTAGAATATATAATTTGGTTGCCGCTCTACGGACCGCGTTTGTTTTTACATAAATGTTCAGATAAAGTGGGAGTAAACGTTCAGTTACCTCACGAGGAAAACGGCACCAAGGAAAACTCTGTGGTAAAGAGTACATAAGCCCAAAACATCGCTATAAGTTAACTGAGGGCATTTGGGCTATAATTCGGAACCAGACGCCTGTATGGTGATATCTGGCTGTGCGCCTGAAGGGTTTTTCTGTGCACCTCAAAATGCTTGTGACAGTGTAACATCTAGTTCCTGCCGCACCCACTAATTTCTCGTCTTCTCAGGTCAAATCCTTAAGTCGAATTAAACAACTTTTGTGGTTGCGAGGCAGTGAACCATTCATGTTAACACAGATACTACTGCGTCGGATGTTTGTCCAAGCATCAGAACCGAACTTAACATGACATCCACCATTATTAGTTAACATGTAAATGAAGAAATACCTCATATAGATGTTTTATGTGAAGCGTGTACTAGAGATGTCAACAGTCATGGTGTGCTACTAACAGTAAACGTTTGACAAGCGAGATAAATGGATACAGAATTTTCCTATAGCGTCCAACTGAATTCTTATCGGAAGGCTAAGAACAGTGAGACCATCTCCCTGTTTGGTGAAGGCAACGTTTTGTACTGTAAGTTTGAGAATCCTATTTCAGTCATCAGAAACAGGCATTTAATTATCAGAAGTGGAAGCAGAAATTCTAAGCTGATGTACTCGACGGTCTTTCCGCAGTTTCAACCGGGCTGTTGTCATCGTAATTATTTTCATTCTTTCTTGACTTCTCAGTGTGGTTATGGGAGCAAACTTTTGCAAAATGAACCTTTCGTATTTGATTCATTTTTCAGCGTCAACCGAGGGGAGGTTAATCACAAGTGTACTCAGCTTTCCCGGAAGTCTGATAATCTTTGCAGTACTATGTGCCGTTAGCTTGCTGGTGAGCTTATTTGCCTTATGTGGAAGTCAAGGACTGCAAAGACTCGACTGTCGGTGGAGTGCACCGTGTATATCTAATAAGCCCCCGGGACAAGAGCCCGCAATGAAAGAGCGATTGGCAACCAAACGTTCCCCGGTACTAAAGAAAAAGGTCCATGTTTACCGACATCCAAATCATTTGTACACTGGGACGTCCAGTGAGTCCACTCTACAGCGGGAGATTACGTCCCTGTTAGACGTAAAAATCGATGAAGGATATGATAGTCAAATAGACAGCACTTCAACCCACCAAACTCCGTGTCATGGAAGCCATACGCACCCGCGAGTTTCTAACGGTGCGCGCTCAATACTGGCCTGCCTCAACTTCAATAAACTGAGGGATACAGAAAACAGAATGACATCTTCTCAAACAACACATGGTAACGCAACTGACCAACTGACACTCTACGTAGGCCGATCCCCTGCTCCAAAAACCAAAACAGCTTTCAGCTCCAATCTTTTCAGGCATTTTTCATGGCCTGTACATTCAGGGACAGTACAAGTCGACGCTAAAAATAATGGTGTTTTAGTAGAATGTGAGACATCGAAAATATTGTATGAACTTCCGGTGGACGAGTCGTGGGAGTTACCCAGAGATTGCATTCGAGTTGGACACAAACTGGGTCAAGGTGCGTTTGGTGTGGTCTACTACGGACGGCTTGATCTGTCCAGGTTGAGGAATTCCACCGTGGAACGTTTTCCAACAAGTCTGATTCGTCCGGAAAAATTGAAGGCAAACCATAATCTTTGGGAAGTGGCAGTCAAGAGGCTGCGAAGTGAGTGCTTTTCGTAAGAATAAACCTGAATAATTAATTTATTACTTGTGTTGTCATTTTATTTCATTGCACCTTTGTAATTATCTGCTACTAATTATCGACGTTATTAGTTTAACCTATAAATGGAGGAGTTGATGTAGATGTGGTCCCGACAAAACCTTGTTTGCTCAAAGGACACTCTCGTCTAACAGTATAGCCGTTCTGGTTGTTGGATGACAGGGTTCAGATTTAGCCTTCTGCAGTTTGCCAGGTGATTAATGCACCACATCCCAGCACCACGAGGTCATGTGGATAGGAATCTCCATTGAATCGTACCTAGTCGCTTTACTCATTGGTTTTGTTATGCTCACGAATATCATTCATTGAGATTTTATTTCCTCTAAGAACGATTGAAAGATACCTTCTTGCTACAGATATGTGCTCCACTATTTTTGTTGTTTCTTACTTAATTAGGTACTTCCTCAAGTGGAAACCCATTTCTATAGTGCTCAATTTATATGAAAACTAGCTTATCACCAGTTATATCCACCCTTCTCCTGGTCCAGCAATCAGAGGTCACTACTTGGTTGTGAGTGTGGCTGACTTCCTTGCCGGAGTTTATGTTATCCTTTTATCCCAAGCATAATCGTGCCTAGCTCTTTTTCAGCAGATCACCTGACGGTAGACTAATTACACTCATTTGTTTGAACTTTCTCTAAATTTCTCATCCGCTCATACGTTGTACCATTTTTTCCTCACACTGGCACACTTGAACTAATTGATTTATTTTTTTATCCGTTATTGTAAAAGGTGATTTCGTTGAACAAGAGTTGATTGATCTTGTTCGAGAGATGGAAATGATGAAACTGCTTGGCTCACATCCACATTTGATTCGGTTCTACGGTGCCTGCACGCAATCCTGTAAGTCAGCAATATCATATTTCCTTCTGAGTAAATTGGCCAGGCTCATAACATCAGACGTTAAAGAAGGTTGATTCAGACTCCTTCTAGGTAGCTGTATCAAGTTTCCAGTTGATTCTCCGTTTTTTAACAACAGTATTATGGTTTTTGGAAGCAATCATTGCAAAACAGTGCTGTTATGGCGATGGTTGCACCAATAGTAGGATTCGCTCATAAGTACAAGCCTCTGGAAACGATACAAGTTGCCATCCACCACTAGAAACCCTTACTCGTAGAAAGCACACTACCCATTTTCTGACGATGCCAAACTCTAAATTAGGTGGTCGGATTGTGCGTACAGGATTATTCTATTGTCGGTTCACTCGTTTTTTAAAGTCCCACGCACTCAGACGATGGAGGCTATAATGGATGGCTCTCTGACATGAAAACTTGGATTCAGCCAGCGTTCATGTTTGACTTAACCAACTTTTCCAATCACTGTGTGCATCAAACATCACCTATAGGCTGTCAGGCAACTGCTTCGACAATTGCGTCCCTAGCTCATAACAACGGTTGGCCTAAAATTAGCGGTGATGGGAACAATTGCGTCCTAGCTCATAACGGTTGGCCTAAAATTAGCGGTGATGGGAATTCGCCATGATAAGTGGAAAATAACGCTGATGTCGTAGGTTTCTACCTAGCTGGACTCAGTGAGCTAAGAGGTTACCCGTTAGCGAGTTATTTTGAAAGCGATACTGAATGCTGAATACTCAGCCATTTTAGCTAACTGATTGGAACAGTTGAAGCTCTTCAGGTAATTCGAGGCAAAGGAACTTTACAGGGATTATAGCTACATTTATGGATATGCTCAAAGGGCGATTGCTTCTGTAATGTCAAGGTCAATGTCAACATGTTGTGGGCAAAACGTTTCATATGATGAAACGTTTGCAACCAAATTGCCCAGCTCAGCGAACAAGCCAACGACCATCTACGCTACCTGAGCTACCGACATTCTCCTCTATAGAAAATTAAGATTTCGTTAATCCTCACCCGGTACAGCAGCGTCTAAAATCCTTACCCAAATTCCATGGCACTTCGGAGAAAAATTTTCCAATCATAGCCAAATGACACTGTGGGGATTTCTTACATATTGAAATATCTGTGGTTAGTCGGCGGCACGCGAATTACCCTACTGATCACTGTTTTTGTAAATATGTCTACCAACTCCGTCCAGTTTGCGGTTCATATTCCTTGAATGCCAACTCGTGTCACTTTCCAGACTCAAAGGATTAGCTGGTAAACCTGCATTCCACTCCACACGACCAGTCCATTTTGTAGTTAGTTCTCAGTGTCAACCGATCAGTGAAAGTATATCCTAAGCACTTGTGCATGGTTCAACTCTTGAGAAGAAATTCCGATTTACTGGTGGTGACTAAAGCTCTGGAAATCTCATTCACCTCTCCTTGCACAATCGGGTGTCAGATGTCCGAATACCGAAATGCTGAAATTAAATCGTTTGTAAAATCGATTTTCTTTTAGCCTAGCTCTCACTGCTTCTTGTTTTTTCAGGACACGCCTACCTTTGTACTTTTCATTCAAACACTTTTAGCAGAAAATGTGTTGTTATCAACTCTCTTTCGATTTACGGAGTGATTTTCGTGCTATGTTGTGGTTGGTGATTTGGTATTAAGACAGCGATTTAGAATGAAAGATCATTTCACCCAACTCTCGTGTATTTTATTGCTTAGCGCGAGTGTAACAGTCCTTCTAATGAGCGGGCACTTATTCCAGACCTGCTACATCAAGTATATGTTTGAAGTCAGCCTTCTATAAATTCTTCCTTGTGTTTTTCCGTGAAATTATAAAGGAAGACGTAACTGGGTAAAATTCAGAGCAGGTATAGGGGATCACAATGACTGTTACAGCACAGCTGGTACGGGTGAAATCTGATTGTGATCAAGAGTCCAGCATGCGGAAGAAACGGCAATAATTTGTTGGTTCTTTCCAAATTTGAAAAAATCCTACGTTGAATCTGTCAATGAACATTGGCCGTTTCATTTGGAGACAGTGGTCCTCCTGTCATTTCTTAGATCAAAAATAGATGCTTATCTTCATTATTAACAATGCTGCATTCGCGTACAGTTCTTCTGAAGCACAGTGCACTTGAGAAGTTTCCCGACAATTTCTTTGATGAAATTAACAAATCAATTCATAAAGGGAATATATGGACGCCTATTTTCCCAACTCACCCCCCTCGTGTTTGTGACGCTTGGTGCACTTCTTTGAAACCCCTAGTAATCCGGATTCTCATATACACTGAAATTCAATTTTCACCAATGTGACTCTCACTACAGTTCATTTAAAATTAAATTTAGGTGCAAATGAGCGTACTTTGTTGAAGTGGGTAGATTAACCAATGACTTGTTCATCTTGAGTTCGTCATTCTCTGTTCAGTTTAACAGATATCGATTAAATGACACCTTTCCGACACGGACCTGAATAAGTGGGGTAAATAATATTTATTATATATTATTTGTTACGTTATTAGCACATCGAGGAGTATTCAAATGATGCTAGTTAGCTTAGCTTTTTCTCGGCCAAAAAAAGGCATTGAGGAGATGTAACCCATTATCTAAATAATGTCATTCACTGCTCTACTCAGGGCGGTTTAATTGTTGTTCTCGGGTTGAACAACTATAGACCCTTGAACTTTTGTCTCCTTTTGTACTATTCTGGTAGGGCAAAACAGGGTCCAGTACGGTCAGCTTAGTCTTGCACATGGTTTTGATTGTATCCACTAACGTTGGTACTGTTTGTCTTACGAGGCAGCCATAAACCGTTGTCAGTTCATAAGAAACGATATTTATTTCATTCTCTTTCCTGTTTGCCATCAATCCACCAATAAGGTAAAGCAGACTGTCCGATCCGTCAAACAGAGCTGACTTGTATGGCGCGTGACCACTCTTTTATATCATTGCCTGCAAGATCAGATTTTACAAGGCGTGTGGATCATAATGAAAAAATATTTGTCTGGACGTTTAACATCAGTGCAACATACCGAAGAATGGCATTAGTTTGTGTCCAGTATACATTACTCCTTAGCGATCATTTAATATCCTTTTCTTAGCCCTGCGAGACGGCCCAAGTTGTTAGAGCGCGAATTTACTGACCGGAAGGTCCGTTGTTCGAATCCGACCTCCGCCACTCGATTTACCCTGTCTAGGCTTGGGCAACCTGACAGTATCCCAGCCCTCGTGCTTCCTTCGGGTGGCATGGCAGCTAGGCACAGGCAGGGTGCTACAGCTGAACGCTTTCTTTGTTCTTTTCTCTTAGCCCTGCAACCTTACTACAAAGTTCAAATCAGTGTAGCCCATTCTTGTATCTCCAAATTTAGCGTTTCAAAATGTTTCACGTCTCGACAGGTTACTAATACACTGCATTTGAAAATGAGGTATTTACTAGCACAGCTAATGAGACTAGGCAGTTATACTTTACAGACCGTTGTAGTGGCTGAATTTTGGGTACCGCTTCCGGTCCATGGAACGCCCGTCAGAGGATTGTGGAGCATGTGTGCTTCCTGCCAGTGGAGAGTCAGTCGGCACCCAATTCACTTGCATGCACAGACGCACCACAGGCACCTGGATATTTGTGATAAACTATCATGACAGGTAGAACAAGTTCACCCCACATGATAGTGGCGGCCAGCATATGGCCGGCCGACTCGTGTCTTAGAATGACACATGACGGGAACTTGCACGGTTGGATTTGTGTACGCGGTTTTTTCGTTCAAGCCTGCGGACACAGTGAAACTTCCGTGATAGAATTTAGTACATCATGTCTCCTGACTCATCATGGGACGTTCAAGCGTATCTGTGTATGCTGATAATGACAGATGTTTTCCAAAGAATGAGTTGATCACATGTTAGGATGCCCTGGTTAATTAGACTGACCTCTATGAACTAGTTTCGCATCCGGGAACACAACGATAAATCCCGTCAGTCACACGTCCCCGTGTCCGGGCTAGTAGAACCACCCATCGTCCGAACCATAGAGGCTAGATGGGTCTTAAATGCGTTGAAGACGCGATATCCGCTTATTCTGGCATTTACATTTACGCCATATTCAGCTGTTCAACTATCTGGATAAACATATCACTCAAGACATGTCTAAATCATCCCGCAAAAACTGTAGAGGTCTCCGGTTGATTCATCCAACAGTTCACAAAACACTACGGGATTCTAGACGATTCGGAATGACTTTATTATCAAAGGTACCCATGGAGTGTATCGTATAGGCATTGAGGTACCTGCTAATGGCATCTTTCAGTAGGGGATGGGTTTTTCAAGCACTCGCTAAGTACGGATTCTTCAGTAGTGTTAGATACCAAGTTTTCCGTATCACCATATTCGAGGCTTAGTAGGAATGTGGATTCTCCGGTCCACTGATCAAAGGTCGGTTCACTTAAGAGGTCAGGTTTTCAAACCTAGGATGCATTTGGTTTTCAAGACCCATTGTGGTTAGCGTGAAAGGTTGAGACTATCCAGTATACCCCTTCAGCATAGCCAGATGACCCAAGAAAACCGGCGGCTGTGTTAAAACAAAAGAACCATTTCAGTTGAAGAACCTACCTATACCGGGATCTGCGGAGTTCTCCTTAGTTTTACCATCTAGTTCATAGTAATTTTCCTATCGTTGCCAAAAATGGGCAGCATTCATTTTCAATTTTAAGCAAGCTCATCGTTGGAATTCTTTTACTTACATAGAAAGAAAGAAAAAGCCACACATCCGAGGAACACATGGATTTATTATTATAACTATAATTAATTATTTAATTGTTTTCTGCACCCTAATTCTATCGCTCTGCACCCTTGGCTGTTCGTTGACCGCCCTCTCATTCTTGGATAACTGCGGAAGTGCCACATAAACACCCCCAAAGTCTCCTTTGATTACTCTTTTGCAGTTGTTGATTAACATATACTGGCACGCCACATTTGAGTTCTGTGTGTTCTATTACCGAGAGCAAGTGTGAGTAGGTGCTCCTGCTCAAAAGCTAGACGTGTGGTCTTTGCCTCCAAGTAATGTTTGCTGTAGACAAGTGAGATGAACTACTGAGCTCCTGTACGTTTCAGAAATAAAATAGATTTCAGCATTTCCTTTCCTTTGCGATCTTGAAGGCCTCTGGAGTATCAGGGAGGTCGTATTAGTGAGGATACGAGTAACTCTAATGTTCGCGAACGTCACGTACACCTGAACGGAGATTCGTAGAGAGATGCTAACATTTTCGCATGAAAGAATCGCCGTATTTTTAACCAGTCCCACTTGTTGCTACCTTCACTAGACTGGTAAGTTACCAGTCTGCCTTCAATCGGAAGAAACATGAATGAATTTGACTCGAAAACGGACCCCCTGTAAAAGAGCATTTTGAGGTTCTATGAGGTTTCTTCAGACGGAGAATTTCGGTCGAGCTGATTGCGCTAAGGGCTAAATATCAAAACCGAAGTAAACTACAAAGTTCCTCTGTGTATAGCAACATTGAGTTGGACACAGTGAAGGTGTAAACGTGTGCTTGCAATTGTGTCTTGCTGTGGTTACTGTACTCAAGCAAGCTTTGGTACTTAATGAGATTACTCTTAATCTCCTTGTTTTAACCCCGTACCGTATGTTTAGTCTGCGTAACCACTATATTGAACAAGAACATTAATATTGGGGAAACGAGGATGGTTAACGAAAGATAGTCGCTGGCTAACAGACAGCTACTTGTACGCAACTGTAGCAATCAGAGCAAAACAGCGATGGCGACTGGAAACATCAGTATCACGGAAAAATCCAAGCATCTCGATTTTCAAGCACAGATATTGGCTCATCAGTCTCCGCTCCTCTAATATGCAAATCATAGAAAATTTCGTATCAGTTTTTCGCTTGAAAGCACTAAAGCCGCTAATATGGGTTACTTCCTGTGAAAGCTGTTCCCTTACACAATCAATTGTGTTTGATCGCAGCAATTTTTCTAATTTTTCTCTTAGTTTTCTTCTTTGTTTTTCACTCCTCATGCTTTTTCCACAGTTCCGTTGCAGGCGTCTATACTATATTTTTTTGTTATTGGTTATCTTCTGGTTGACTAAGTTTTCCATAACGACAGTATCCTGGATAATCCCGCTAGTGTTTTTTCCGTTTCCCTAGCCAAAGGCAATCAGACTCCACACAAGGAGACAGGATCTCATGACAGTCGTTAGTCTTACTGCTCATTTTTCGTTGCTGTTCGCCAAGCGATTTTCAGACTCCCTTGTTCCTTCGAACCATAGCCGGTGTGAAAAGCTCCAGACGCGCAAGCGTGAAATACTTTCAAATGATCTCGAATGTTGCGAAGATTTTTGGCCTACGGGGGAGAGGCACTGTTGACACACCTTCTGCACCAGACACGTGATCTCTTATGTATGCGACAGTTTTCGAAATCGGGTGCTGAACTTCACTTTTGCAGAGAAAATAAATGATGTCCCCCTAAAACAAAACGCCGTGAATACCTCTTGGCCATCATAGACTCTTTGAATTCGCGAAAAGCGTCTTTCGACCACGGTAGCTTGGATCAAGATATCTTCCTTACTACCCACGCTGGCATTTAACAAGCCTTTGTAATAACGCATGCCGCAGAATACCTGCAGCCAGTAAATTACCAGATTGATTGCAGGCTCAAGTCCCTCAAATCTTGTAGTAGCACCCTGTTATTCGAACTGATGAAACCACTCAGAAAAGGCTCATTCACAAAAGCCATTTTGGACTAATTAACAACGTGATTATTCGGAACTCAAGAAGCATTTAATAGCATTAAATTTTCAGTCAGGCAGTTGAAACAAACAAGTTGGTATTGACGAACGACAAATTTCAAAGCAGAAAACAGATGCATTGTAGGAGGTGCTCCCATATGAGAAAGTTACCCAAAGTCTATGGTTATTGAGGGGGTTTCTGGACTGAAAAACAGGAGTATCTCAGACTGGTGAGCCGTTACTTCAAGATGAATAGAAGGGTTTCCAATGTTACCACAAAAGCCATGGGTTCTGACCCCTTGAGTTTTAAAGTAACGTGTGCTGCTGTTTACTTGATATAATTGTCAGAACAGGTGCGAGGTGCTTTTTGTTTTTTGGTGATAATTGGCTTAATCTTGACTCGAAGTAAAATGTCCTTTGATGGCACTCAAGGACAGAAATGACCTCAAGAAGTGAACGAGTTCTATAACGGGCTTAAAACCTCAACTCTTACAGCATTTTCATCTAGAACTGAGTGTATGTATATATGTATAATCAAGTTGAGAGTGATGTAAGTTCTATTCATTCCAATCTGAGACCATGTGCCATTGTGAATTTCATCGTTTTCAAGGGCCTTTTCAAGTTGTCGTCGAATATGCACCCCACGGAAACCTTCGCGACTTCCTTCGTGCCCGCCGTCCTCCAAAGTCTACTTCAGAATTAAACCGCTTGATGAAGTTACCATACCCAACACTAAACAGACGCAACCTTTTGGATTATGGATTACAGGTTGCGCGTGGAATGGAATATTTGAGCTTGAGATCTGTAAGTAATGCTTTGTGTCATTAACTAGCCGTAAATAAGTGTTGCCGTGTGGTTTACATTCGATTACTTTATATTCCTCGAGTTTTTTCGTTAACCTTACGTTCCGCCTGGGCGTCAGAATGTGCGCTATTGGGCAAATGCACTCATTTGGAAGATATTCCATATGGTAAGTCCCACGAACGGCAAACCCATTCGCACATTCAGCTGAGAAGTAGGGAGGAAAAGAGATTAACCTGGGATTCAAGTGAATCTGATATCAACACCAAATTACCTTGCAAATAAGTATATTTCGTCAATGAACATCGTTGTTGTGCAATGCCAATAGTGTCGCCATGACCTTGTCGCTTTATGACCTTGATTCTGAGCTTAAAATTTGACGCTTATGGCCACCAGGTAGATATCATTGCACCGGGACAGTATAAAGGTTATATACCAGGTATGTATGTTTCTGAACTATCCGCGCGAATGAGGATCATCCGTTTGATTTGAAGATCGTACGCAATTTCGCACTGTGCACGTTTGAGCAGGGACTAATGGTGACCCAAATGAAGGTTAGTCACAAAACTGAACTCATCTAGAGACATTCTGTCTAAAGTCTTGCAATACCTTCTTAATGTGCCCCAAAGGAGGAGTGTCACAGCATGAATGTGCTGTCTAAAATTGGCGGAAGGGATCTGATACGTGCGGAATAAAAGTGACATAAAGACTAAAACTGTTAGTCCGTTTAGGAGGACTGCAAGGGTTGCACACTCATCCGCTGCCCACAATTCAGGAAGATGAACAGGGTATCCTAGCTAGGAACTAATACCACCTTTAGCAAGATTAGATGGGTTGAACAGCGCAATGTAGCCACGGCGAATGACAGAACGTGAAATTCATTGGAGTTCAGTTTCCTGACACATTTTTACACCAACAGACTTGAAATATTAAGAGCCATTGTGATGTCCCTGCTATTCAAAAAGCCGATTACGGGAATACAGTGGTGGCGTGTTGCAAAATGCTAAGGACATTCGACTAACCTGTGGTTCACACAGCCGAAATAAGGTTGCCTAATAATCTTATATGACATCACCAAGGTTTCCTCATGGCTCCTTAATTTCTTAATTCAGAAATACGGGAGCTTTAACTGAGCCTAGAATAGCTGACGTAAAGTGTTGAAGGTATAAACGGAAACCGTTTCCCAAGACAATGATAAAATATAGTTATGGTTCAGCTGTAACACCTATTCGGTGCTTAGCTGCTATGCCACTCGAAGGAAGCGAGAGGGCTGAGATACTTCCCGGTTGCCCAAGTCTAGACAGAAGCGGTCGAGATGCAGAGGTTTGGTTCGAACCAAACAAGAATTTCGCAGATTTATCAGCCGTATGTTTTAACTATGTAATCTTAGCATAACTTCGAATATATTGGATATATTTGGAAAAATAGGGTGGGATTATTGTCACTCCTACTAACGTACACAAGAAGGGTCTTATTCGAATTAGGCGAAAGAGGAAGACCTGTGTGGGCCACGAATCCGAGAGGCAGACAATAAGTAAACGGACTTTTTCTCATGAAATTCCTTTGGGTGTGGCAGAACCAAGACACCTCGTATCTCCTCAGAGACAGGCACTTAGAGCTAATAATGCATGACTCAATAGAGGCAGTGAAGACTACTCAATCTAATGGGATATTTTTGGATGCGTTCGCCGTTGTTTATCGGTGTTTGTTTCCAATAGACTCATCCTAACTGACAGCGTAACATTATGGCTCCGTGGCGGAGGAAATCCAACCTTATTCATTGTTATCAACCTAGAGTTTTTCTTCTCTTCTGGTCCCCCGGATGGTCCCTCCATTCACCCTCCAGGTGACCGTTTAATCGTATACCGCTAATCTATCTTTTCAATCCAAGTCGGTTGTTAACCATCAATACTTCAACCACGGGTTGTCACTGTAAGACCTCCTGAATCCCTCAACTTGACACTAGCTGAATGGCTCTCCAGCCAATTGTAATGGTTTAGAGTAAATTGCTGAGTGATCGGGCCTGTGGAACGTCCCGTTAATTGGCAGGCTTTAGTCCTTTTTTTGATCTTAATACGGCTCCATCTGTTTGGCCCGATTTAAGTCAGTCAAATTTCAAGCACGGCTTATTCATATGCATTTGTGTACGGAAAAAACAATTTGCACATTTTTCCGACTGAAGTTTAGAACACATCAAACCCGAAACTGATTTACCAAGGGTAAAAGGCCACATGGTGGAATTCCTGACTATCATGAACGGTCTCGCCAAGGTTCCTTTCCCCTGCCAATAAACAAGATGCGCTCTGCTGACGCTGGCTTCGTAGTGAACATGTCAGAGCAGGCAAAGTCATTCCACCTGATTGTTCTTTATGACCATGACCTGAGAAGCTGCTGTCATGAGGTTTTTATATAAGGGTATGTCAAGGTGTACACACATACTTTGCGTAGACTGTTTTGAGGGTGTATCAGCAAGTGATTTCTGGTTTACCCACGTTGATCAATAGCTCTGCTAGTTGCATTAACTCGTTTAATTAGTTATGCGGTCGCATCGTAGGATGAATACCAGCTATCTTAGATGTCGTCATGTTAAAATTGACATATAATCACGGACATTTGGCACCAAACTTCTGAGATCAAGCAGTTTAACTAGAGCAGAAGCAAGGTCTGCTATCATCCAATGCTGCTTTTCCGAGAAAGTTACCCAAAGCAAATGTTTCAATAAATAAAAGGAATCGAACTTTGGGAGTCCTGCGTTCTTTAAGTGCCTTTATGGCTGGGTGTGCAGTCCATGTAAACGGCTGCTAACTGATGTCTCAACAGTTGTCAACTACTGTCTTTTGTAATCTCAATCCAGACTCTAACCAGATCGCAGGAAGCCCATTAAATCTAGGGAATTTTTAGGCAGCAAATTGGGCTAATCTTGTGCCTTTGGGATTTTCAGGTAGTCCACCGTGACTTGGCTGCAAGAAATGTTTTGGTGGGAGAACAATTTGTGGTCAAAATTGCCGATTTTGGCCTAACGCGTACGGTCTCGGATTATTATCGGAAGACAACCAGCGTATGTTCATTTATCGGTTACCCGTTTTGACCGTATTGTTCATCAGCCCGTCTTAATGAAAGTCGGATAGATTTGGTGAATCTAGTCGGATGAATTAACGAAAACAGACATGTCTTCAACAGATAAATTTATGCTAAGTAGTTCATTGTTTATCGAAATGACCAGAAACACTAATCTTGATAATACCTGTCAGTTTTGACTCCATCGAGATGTCTTCAAAAAGATGTGCCCACTTGAAGTTTACAAATAGTTCTGTTGTACTTGCTGGTTTTTAAACCAATTTATCGACTGACAATTTTAACGGTACGCTTTCAGATGTTCCGTACTAGCGCGTTTGCGTGAGCGAAATTCAGTAAAATTTGATTAAAAAAAAGCATTTTGGTATATTGAGCAGGTGTCTCACTCAGCTTTGCCTGGTTTACGGACTCGTGTGCCTAATTGGAAAACCAAGCATTTTCTATTTGCTGTATGACAGCAGAGACAGCCAAGAGGAACGAGAGGAGTAAACTCTGACTGAAGTTTTAAACACAACGACACGTTCGGTGAGGAGGTAAATGATCTGCGAACTAAGGAGGATGAACTGAATCCCACTTGAAACCCTCGTTTGTGATATACGATTCAAGTAGAACGTTAGCTTGAAGGAAACTCCAGGACGGTGCCTACCTGAAGGGTCCGACCCTGTGGTCAGCACTCGGAGCTTTCCAGCAACCTTGTGAATAGTGTGCCTTGTCTAGTTTTACTCTTGGCATGAATTTACTTCCCAGCGGTGCTGTTTAATAAATCCATTATCGCAAACAATGCTTCCCACTGAGGAAAACCGGCAACTATCTACCCATCCCATTGAAGAGATTAGAGAGAATATTATTACCACATTGGAAAAACTAGAAAGTGGTCGTTCTTCTTTCCTTGGCTTCCGGTTCGCTGAATACAGTTAGGCACAAAATGCCTGTGTGTAAATTTCACACATGCCGCTGTTGAAGACATCTTAATTGTGAGTTGATGCAACGAAAAACCAAGTTTTTTCTAGAAAATACACCAAATTTTTGTCATTACCTTTGAGTTTCATCACATAGAAAGAAGTGTGACCGGCAAACATGGTTGATTCTGTAATGTTGCACAGCCATGTCGCACATCCTGGTGGATGTGCGTGTAGTTACCCTATGGAAGCACTTTGAGGCACAGTTGTTCAAAAGTAGGTATCAGGATAAAAATTTCTGTAGGTAGAGAATTAAGAAAATCTTCTGGACCGAGGTCCGGCGGACAAGGCAGAAGTTGTTATCAGTACCTCCACAGGAGCCAGCTAAAATAGCTTATTTTCGAAAGCATTTCCGGTATTCTTTGGCGTGCATGAAACCGCCGGGGCCAACAGTGGGGTAAATTAGAGCTTGTTGGCTTGTATATAGGGCTTACTGTGCCAGATGCTTTGTCAACCATGTTAGGTAGCACGCATTTGCTCCGTAATTCGTGTGAGCTAGTTTGGAACCAGCCGGAGACACAAGTGCATGACAGGTGCCCCGTCAACATTTTCACCTGGGTTTCAGGTGAGTCTCTCGAAAAACTAAATTAATTTTCATACGAGTGTATATTCGCTACACCTAGAATAGTTCCCCCTTGTTTCGCACAACCACCTGTGTATATCAGTTCTTCAGGTGAACGTATGCTTCCACGCTATTGCTTGATAAACACAAGGACACGCTTGAATTTGTAGCGGAATAGGTATTGACCAACGTACTGATACAGCTTGATTCTTACGTCAGCACCGACCGGTGAACGTGGACATGACGATTTAGTCGACTCAACAGACTGTGTAAACTTACCGTAAGGGCCAGTAATACCATTCATTACCCGTGTCCATCATTGCCTACACATCAACTGAGGGTTTGTGTGAAATACCTTAAGTCCCAGGTTATGCGCGACAAACTAACCAAAATCCAGAAGATGGAACTCCATTCAAAGAGAATCTGAACCCTCCTCCTGTGTTCCGCCGAATGAGGGAGGTATCGCAGAGCTTGTCCACCCATCAGAAACTATAACAAAACAACGCATGAGGTAAACCACACATTACATCCCGCAATTTTAACTCTTCTTGCTGAGGAGATAAAGTTAAACGTGTAGAAGATGGCTTCTTCTACACAAAACATGCAACGCAATCGAAACACTAGTGAACAGAATGAAAATGAGTTTGCTAACAACTTATAGCCTGAGAAGTCGGATTCGTCATCGGGATGTAACCCGACAATTGGGATGGAAACCCATCTTTTTTGCTGTAAAACTTAGGTCTTGTAAACATGACAGGACAAAAAATTGCCCATCCGAAACCCAGATGGTTGGAGTAGAAATAAATGCTCCGCACTGACCGAATAAAACCTTGTTGAAAATGAACCCAGTTGACTTCTCTAAGGGGAAAAAGTGGGATCCCTTTTACGACATGGTGTATCAGGAAGTGAAACTTAGTGAACGAATTTAAAAGCAAATGAACAATAAGCTTGACTTTCACTGTAAGAAGTCAGTCGCATTTCAGGGAATCAACCGACATTTATACAGATATTGGAGCAGTAAATCAGAATTTTTTCCAAGTAGACGGCTCACATGTGACTTGTGTAATTGTCTTAGATCTTCACTTCAAGCATCAGGGTCACCGAGTACCGGTACCAAGGGTAGGTAAGTCCAACGTAACACACTGCTCATAAGGTTGCTGAAAACTGCTTGCCCTTCTTGGGGTCCATCAGGTTGGCTCAGACCCCGCGTTTCCGTCAACTTTGTGTTCAGGAGCACATTCAGTTTAAGCGGGCCATCATAAATGTAATTCAGATGGATTCAGTTGAGCCTCCCGTCAAAACCAACTTTGTGTGCAAACGAGAGTATTTTAAGTCATGCAATTTCCAGCTTTTAAAATGTATTTATGTGAGATTTGAGGTACAGGAAACCACGCGATATATTTGCTGCCCTGTAAACGACTGCTACTTTTTCCCAACTTCAGGGTCGCCTGCCAATAAAATGGATGTCACCCGAATCGCTGTTTGACAGGACATACACCACAAAAAGTGACGTGTAAGTTTAATTGATTACTGCATTAAATCGAAAATCACTTTATAGGGTTCCATTAATAAATTCATCAGAAAAGTGTTTATAAGAAACCGGAATCATTGTGCACCTAGAAAACTGGGATTTTGACGAAACCTTTTTTAGATTCCCGAAATGTGACATTTTTATTTGATTTACGTAACTTAGTTCATATCTCTCATACCAGTGGATAAAAGGATCGTTTTCACCGTCCGCACTCCCTTTTGAGTGAGATTTAATCATTGAAATGAGGCCAGTCTGTGTTGAAAGGCCGAGAAGCACCGTACAGTTCTTTCATCCTTATTATGAGTCATGTGTAGTGCGAATCACACGAAATTCCAGGGACCTTAGAAACCGCGACCTCCCGGTTAGCAGTTTCAATCAACACCTAAGCATTTGACCTCTAGCTCGTGGCCAGTAGTGTTCTTAACTCGCATTTGGAGAGAACTTAGCAACGTTTGTCCTTCAGTCATGCTTGCTTACGCTTGCTGAATGCGTTCTCTAGTGATGATTTCTCATGAAAGTTTCAGTCATCTGCTGAATTTTCTTCTCCATTCAACTTTAATCCACTTTTTCATGCTTTCTTTAAACCATTACACAGCTGGTCCTTTGGCGTTCTTCTGTGGGAAATATTCTCACTCGGTGCGGTGCCGTATCCATCAATAGATCCCGAACGCCTCCCAAACATGTTGAGCCAGGGGCACCGCAATGATTGTCCGAAACTGGCGAATAAAGAAATCTATGAGATTATGAAATGGTGTTGGACCGAAAATCCAGACGACCGACCAGAATTCTCTGCGATTTCACTCCAGCTGGAAAGAATAAAACAAATGAACAATGGTTGGTTCACTGACTATCCTATAAACGGCTTAAACGAGGAAACTTCGGCCGATTCGGGCCAGGCGAGTGCCGAATCACCGGAAAGACACCTGCGAGTGGGTGTTTGCTCTAGTGAGGAGTGCAGTCATGTAACCGGCTCTGTGCACGCTTCCCTTCAGTGTGTGCCCAGTCTCCAGTCTGAATTCCACAAATCCACTAATGACTGTCCTTACGCTGACAAACCGCTCAATGTGAGTCCATTATAATTCGCCGGAAACATATTCAGTGATACTGATTTTTGTCTTAATGGTTATCAAATTACAGAGAGCGGCTCATTCAGATTTTACCTACACCTAGCTACTTCTTTCTGTACACAATGATGTGAGGAATCGTCGAAGAACTAAGTATTGTTTGATACTCTTAACCAGATACGGACGATCAACCGGCTACTCATAAGGATCATACTCAGTTGATGTCACTCTTGGAGACTGCACAAACTGTCCTTAAGGCAAGGTTATTCCTTGAATGTGAACAGCAACTAAGCTGACCTATCCTGCACATCTATCTTGGCTGGAAGAACAAGACTTGGTGGAAAAACACATTAACTCTCCTTTCACTAAAACAATAGTAATGTGTTTTGGCAGGCTACTGCGGGTAATGAACTACGAACTCTTCGCCTCGATTGCGTAACCAGATATTCTGGGTAAACGTGTCAGTTCCGATCAATGTCACTGGTGTCGTCTTTTGCTCGCCTACTTGGTTAGCTCACATCTGACCCGTCAACAGTTTTCCGCTTCCGATACACGCCAAATTATCTGATAAAACGGGTGTTGCTGAGAAACAACGTAATCGTGTCCGAATCACCATCCTCGTTAACTCATATCTACGAAAACATCGTCTTATTTAAAGTAGGTTCTAGCAATACCAAATGGCTCAGTGCTCACATCACATCAGTTACCGAATGAACTTCAGAACGCCCCAGGCTCTTATTTTAAACTGCACAGTTTTATGGTAGTTTTCATTTGCTTCTGAGACCAACAGGAGATTTCTTTAGTCTGAATACATCGGAACTGGGGTAGATTTTACGTTGGCATTTTCAGGATGTAGCTCGCCTAATTTTCGTTTATTTCGACCCCCGAGCATTGTTCAGTCATGATGGGTGCTCATATGATACGGCGCAACACAAATAACGCCGAATGGTTTACTAGGTTCAAATCAAACGCTTCGTTGCACACATCGATAGCATGCGATCTTCATCAAGTCTTGCGTTTTATCAATTTATCCCAATGCCCCTGGTTTGTTAACGACGCTTAAGAAGTGCCAGCACGTAAATATCTGCCGGCAAAAGACAGTGCCCTTTTCCAACGAACACTGTCGTGCAGGATAAAAGTGAGCTTTTCGCGTTGGACTGATGCCCTTATGTGTAACGGGAAATTCTCGTAGTAAACTCACAGACAATACAAAATGTATACCTAATATTGAGGAACAAAAAGTTCTTAAAAATTCAGCGGCTCTAAAAGAGTCAACGGATGGATGAGGAACCGTCAGGTGTCACAAAGTCAAGCAAGGGTCCTTTTCGTACGACGATTCGATGCTTTGCACGGCGCAAAACTCACCCAGCAAGACTTTCGTGAAACGACCTGAACTTGCCCCACACCTGCCTAATGTAGCGACTGACCTGCTGCAATAGAGCTACCAACTCGATCTTGCTATGTAAAACAATTTCCTGCCTTTTCATGGATTTTTTTTACTCACCCTTGCTACTGGTAAATGGTCGTGTAGCTTGAACCACATAACCTACATCGAGACCAGTCAGTGAAATCATGGGAATGATGATTGAACCCCACTTTACGATGCACCTTGAGAAACCCGCAAAACCCCGAAATTGACGTACTCGCATTCAAGATTCGAAGTGAGTCGGTTCTCCCTAAGTTTGATTTACACAACAATTGCTAATTTCTCTGATTCTGGATAGGTTTGTTCCCATTAGTTCAAATTCCTTCTCTCTCTCTCTTCCCCTCTTCCCTCTACTCACAGCATTATTTAGAAATGACCGATAGTTATCTGATACCAAAAACCTCCACCGCTTCGTTGCTTTGATAGCCTCAATGCAGACCATACAAGAGAATTACGATATCGCCACCATAAGTTATCGCCAATGTTTCTGTACAAGTAACACCTTTTACGCCTTCCATTCTAGGTGTTTTCCGTATTTTTATGCATGTTTCTAGATAACATTCTGTTTGGACCACATCATCTATAAATGTATCTAACATTGCCTTTGTCAACCGTCAATTATGCTAATATATGTATATAAATAGGCATTCTTCCAATGTCAATTCTTTATAAATTGTCAGTCAGCAATAACCAATTTATGAATGTACGGAACCAGTTGTGTATGACGAAGTTTGAATCTGAATTGCACCAGCTATTCCGTTACTTTGGTTAGTTTTAGAGTCCACCGTTCAGCTGATAAGGAATCGTAAGATTTAGAAAGCAATTAAAAAACACACAAGGAAGATTAGAGAGGCCGCAACGCCGTACGGAGGTGCTGCATTGTCTCCCTCCATCTCTAAGTGTACCGTGCTGCTCAGGTTAATTGCAATTTTCTGTTTGGCTTGGTAACCATGTGCTGCAGGATTCGGTCAGATCAGAGATAGTGAATAGCAACGTAAACCCAACCCGGATGAATCTCGACATGCATGCTGAGTTATCAAAAACAGTGAATTCAACTAACACCTGCTGGCGAAGATGCAACAAGCTATCAGCGAAACCTAGTCTAGTCACAATTGCTATCGGTTGGTGTGGTTGTCAAAATACCGAATTGATGGGTTAGAGGAGTTTCAAATTAGGTCCGGTCGGCTCGTGTTCCTTGATTTTCCACTCCAGAGTGCTTCAACTGATGATTTACCGCAGGTCCTACTGGTATGTTCCCCTTGGTCTTCGTGGGCTTGCGACAATTTAGTTGAGGGGAGAGAAGATGGGTAAGGTTAACTGGAATCCAGATGATGAATACTCCTCGTTCTGATAATCGCACGCCAACACGTGTTAGTTCGATTGACCCAAGATCGTTCTCCACACGCTTGCCAGTTCCACGCCTTCTATTCTGTTAGCAGTGGGATGCTCGGCGATTTCTGCCGCCTCGGCTATCGAGCTGTGTGTCGTGAACCGTAGTCCTGGCCTTCAAACCTCAACATTTTCCAAATCCATTTTTTGTCCCGTGTCCAGTGTGTGTTTCGCAATCGCCGAGTCTTTCAGTTACGCTTGATATTCATCTGCGTTTTTCGGCCGCCTGTTTATTTTTCCACTATACTCCTGTTCTGACGGGAAGTTCCCTGGCCGTCTGTCCTATATAGACCTTAGCGCAGCCATCACAATATTTTGTCGACACAGTCCCTAGTTCTGTTTGCCGGGGGGGGGCGATCCTTCGATTGCACCAGTGCACAGCACAGAGTGTTCCCCCTCTGGAAAGCTACTTCTCTTTTGGCCGATGACCCTGGTTTATATGGAATAACAGCGGTCTCAATCGATTCCCTGTTGGGTTTTGTTACCGGTACCAACACCCTTCGCAACTGACGCCTAATCAAGCTAGCTGGATATCCAATATCCCGAAGTTTGTTCTTTGTCTCAGTTTGAGCCACTCTCCGATCAGCTACTTCTGTGCGCAGGGCCGTTACACGCCTAAACATTGATGAAGCAATACTGGGGAATACCGACTTCGGAAGGGCAGACGAGTGGTCCAGAACTGTCCCAGTGTCAGTTGGTTTCTCGTACACTGTGGTCTTTAGTTTCCCCGACTTTATGTGTCATGGAATCTAACAATACCAGTCTACCCGAGGCTGACTGTACCTCCATACTAAATTTATATGTGTGAACTCAGTTCATTCAGATAGCTGTAAAACTCACTAACTTTGCCCCGTTTCATCACGACGAAAGTGTCATCTACATAACGCCAGAATATCTTAGACTGGTGTGGAAATCCGGCTAAAGCTCTCTGTTCAACTTCTCCCATAAATATATTTGCCAAAATCGAGGATATTGGAGATCCGATTGCTAGACCTTGTTCTTGAGTGTAGACCACTGAGTCAAAAACGAAGTGGTTGGGACTCAGACATGTTTTTATGCCTTCCATTATCAAATCTATTAAAAACAAACGACATATTACTCCCAACTGAAGCAGTCTAAGTGAAGCATCTCATATTGCGTGCAGTAATCGAATTCGTAGGCTATAACCTCAAATGGATCTACTTGTTGTAAGACAGATGAGAGACAACTCACTTATTGTCTCCTAACTTAGTGAACAAGTTGGCAATCTCAGGTGAAATTATTTAGGATCCAAATATTTTGACAAAATTTGACAATTTACCAAGTTATTTTCACAGAACAGCCAAACAGTCGTCTTAATGACAACTGTTGAATACAGGAAAATAATCAGAATGCGAAGATATCAACCGTTTTGCGATGGTTTCTCGTTGGAAACTTTTAGCAAACTTTTCTTAGCACCGACGAAATTGATTATTTACGGAGGCGCTTGTCTTTGGAAGGAGTTCCTCCTTTTAGAGCAGGAACTTTCTGGGATTGCCCAGTGCTGTCAGTGGTCCCTGCCAATGTTGTCTTCGCTGCGGCTTAACAAAACAAGCAAATGTTGCGTAGAAATGGTGGCACATGAGTTGTGTTCAACGCTGTTTTCTAGCAGATAAAACGACAAAGAAGTTGTGCTCACAGAAGCACTCAAAAGCAAAAAATGCATCTGATACCCCAAAACTTCTATAAAAAATAGACTGATGCTTTTGAAATGTAAAGTGCAGGTACTTCTGCATACTTGAGGTTGCATCCAAGTAAGTAAAGTCATTCTTTCTTACACTTTGCATTGTTGTATTTTTCCCCTGTGTATCGGTCTAAAAGATGTTGCGTTTCAATAAATGATAGTGTAGCATTTTGGTGACTATTTTCAACTTTTAACGGGATATTTGGTTCATACATGCTTCACACATGGTTCATACACACTTGGTCCACGCTTTATTCATACAGTTTACAACCACTTCAGATTTAAACAAACCCTATATCATGTGTAGATTTTATGCTAAAGTACTTAGCTTATACTTTGAGCCTGCCAACGCCATCATTAACTACGCGGCAGCGAAACGGTTTCTACGTTTCTCTTTTCATACGTTCAGTCTGGTGCGCAAGTTCGGAAAACTGATGTAATTTTGACGGTTGGGTCCGATTAATGGACCTTAAATAAGTTAGAACCAGTGGAAGGCTGTCTAGAGCTTCCGTCATCCTTTGGCTAATGTTGTATAAGTGCTGATATGGCAACTCCAACTTTGTATTTTGTTCTTCCCAAATTTACAAAAGATAATTTCATAATCCATTGTAACCTAGCCATATTTTATCACACTGATTTCAAAGCTCGTTATTCAATGATGGTATTATTTATTCTAAAATTTGATGTTCGGAAAACAAATTCAGTCAGCGTGCAAGAACAGTTTGTAACCGGCTGCTTCCAAAACCTGTTGGCTGAAGCTTTGGAAATAGCGCAAACGTATACAGAGAGTCAAATCCCTCTACTGGCCTTTAGTAATGTCCGCCGGTCGCTAGGACACATCATACACTTATTGAGGCTTTCGCTCCGGGAAGAATACCATAAATGTAGTTCCCTAAGAATGCTGGCTACACTCAGGTTTGTACGAATGAACATTTCAACTAAAATGTTGTGTTTGTCTTGCATCAACCGTACCGTCAATTCACGCATAAGAGGAGGAAGTGTCGCCACGTATGTGAAAACACTTTGGTATCTCCTCCACATGTTTAACAGAAATATTTCATGGAACGTATTATTTGCTTTGGTCTACAATGCGGGCTTCATTCTTGTAGTGGTTATCAACCGACCGTCCCTACTCTCGTATATATCACACCCGCTACTTTAGTTTGGGAGCCGTATTTGCTGACTTTTCTCCCCTCTTATTATAAGTCACTTGAATCAGTTGTTTCTGTACTCGTCGACCAGTTAAACAGGTCTAAGTGTTTTGCCTGGGCTTGGCGACGCAGTTGTTGGTTCAGCTGGACCCCTTGTTTGTAAACAATATCAGTATTTTGTCCTGTGAGTGAAACTAATCTACGCTGAAAAGCCGAGAAGCTCTGTACAACTGTATCATCCTTATTGGGAATCATCACCAGTGCGCATCTCAGGAAACTCCGGAGAGTCTCGAGATGCGCATTGCTGATGATTCCCAATAAGGATGAAACAGCCGTACAGTGCTTCTCGGCTCTTCAGCATAGATTGGTTTACGCGAGCAGTCAAGCCGGGTGTGGCAAACCCCAATGTAGGTCACTGTGGTCCTGGGTAAAAAGAGCTGCTATAAAATCGGACGGACAATAAACCAGCTGTGTGGATAAAGGAGAATATTGTACCTCTAGAACTTACCTAGTCAAACTCAACTTGGATTCTGTAGGCTCTACCATGAAAGCCATAACTGAGAGCCCGATCGTTAGACGTACTACCCAAAGTTCGCTCTAACAATTGTGTGAACGAAGGGAACTTTAACCTAAGGTCAGCATTTGGCGGCAATGACTAGAAACCTCAAAATCTCCCACAGATAATCGCAGTTTTGTTGTAAATGGTTTAAACCTACTCAAAGTCAACTTTGAAAATGGAATCCATAATTCTAATATGTGCGATGGCGGCGCATGATGTCTCCGTGAAAATGGTGAGAGGTTTTCTAAAAATTGCTTTCTCCACGTGTTTTTCAGTGTACTAGATTTGGTCATACTTTAAAATATTGTATGAATTCCCTCGCCCTTGTTGGTACGAATTTAAAGTGGAGCAGGTGTTCGCGACCTATGCAGTCTTCGATCGTTGCAGCAGGCGTCCAGCCAAGCAAAACCAAGGAGCCCGTCACAAATATTAACATTTTTCGATTTTTTTTATGATGGCACATGCTGTATCGGGAGCAGGAAAAGGCTTTATTTTCACCGGTATAATGACTTTATGAAAGTGTCTTTGGATGAAGTACAGGGTTCGTGGGCTACACTAGCAGATAATACAATAGGTCGGCCAGTACTTTGGGGCTTTGACATTAATCTACCTGAATAAAACTGTCTTTTGTCGCATGTTAATAGCTTGACCGGAAATAGTATTGAACTACAAGCTAGCAGTCAGACTGGACACAGCAGTCGTGTTACCGTCATCGCGACTTCGTACGTGGGACCGTGGACAGTCACGCACATGGACGCCTTGAGTGAGTCAACTGGGGTTGTCATGGTAGGTAAAATGGCCAATGAGTCGTGACCACTTGCGACCAGCATGGATCGATGA